AATGTTTTGTGTGAACAATGGCCATCTAGAATCAATCATTGAGGCCTCTCGGGACCGCAATACTTCACAAATACATTTATGAACCAATCTTCCCTGATCGTGTCATCTATCCACCCATTCTTTTGAAAGGTCCATATGCAATTAGATGGAGCTTCACTGACATTGTAGCCAGCTAGAGATCTGTTTGTTTTGCCCTTTATTATTATCATGGGTGGCATAGCTGTACCAGCACCGTTGATACAGGCCATCGTGGTAATGTTACTAGAATTTGAGCTTGTTCATGAAAGCACACAATGGTCACCTTTCTCGGCAACTACCTTACCTGGTGCATGTTTGAAATTGAAGCCCGTTTCATCCCAGTTCCAAATTTGCTCAGGGTGGTCTTGTAGGCCTAAGTCTGTAATGAGTTTCCTAAGGAACTTAAAGTAGTTGTCGACCACTCCAGAATTAAGCATCCTCATCCTCACTGAGTTAAGCTTCTCTTGCTTTCTTAGTACAACATCTGGAAATCTCCTCATGAAGCCATCAAACCAGCGTTTTCCAGCTTTGAAGTTTTTAGCTCGACTATTCGATAAGAATAAGTAGAGCTATTGTAGTCACCCGAGCGTCGGCGTCGGCGTTGGTGTCTGCGTCGGCGTAACCACTTATGTTAAAGTTTTTGTAATAGTTCAAATATTTTCAAAGTCCATTGACATATGGCTTTGAAACTTGGCACACTTGTTCACCATCATGACCCCAACCTGTAGACAGGAGGAGGTAACTGTATCAAGCATTTTGACAGAATTATGCCCCTTTTTCGACTTAGAATTTACGTTAAAGTTTTTGTAATAGTTCAAATATTTTCAAAGTCCATTGACATATGGCTTTGAAACTTGGCACACTTGTTCACCATCATGACCCCAACCTGTAGACAGGAGGAGGTAACTGTATCAAGCATTTTGACAGAATTATGCCCCTTTTTCGACTTAGAATTTACGTTAAAGTTTTTGTAATAGTTCAAATATTTTCAAAGTCCATTGACATATGGCTTTGAAACTTGGCACACTTGTTCACCATCATGACCCCAAACCTGTAGACAGGAGGAGGTAACTGTATCAAGCATTTTGACAGAATTATGCCCCTTTTTCGACTTAGAATTTACGTTATAGTTTTTGTAATAGTTCAAATATTTTTCAAAGTCCATTGACATATGGCTTTGAAACTTTGCACACTTGTTCACCATCATGACCCCAACCTGTAGACAGGAGGAAGTAACTGTATCAAGAATTTTGACAGAATTATGCCCCTTTTTCGACTTAGAATTTACGTTAAAGTTTTTGTAATAGTTCAAATATTTTCAAATTCCATTGACATATGGCTTTGAAACTTTGCACACTTGTTCACCATCATTACCCCAACCTGTAAACAGGAGGAGGTTAATTGTATCAAGCATTTTTTTTACTATCAAGCACTAAGAATAGTCGAGCGTTGCTGTCCTACCGACAGCTCTTGTTGTAGGACCCACCCACTTTCATATGCTGGCACAAAAAATTTGTCCTGCTCATAATCTGTTTTTGACTAAGCCCTACCCCCAGTTTTGAGGCTTTCTTAATTGTCTTTACAATCGTTTCTTCAATGTACATAGGAATGGCTGGAGGGCGTCCATGTTTGGTATTTAGATCGTGCTTACCAGTGAGCCTGTCCCCAATGGTGGATCTCGGGACAGAAAATGCCTCCGACGCAGCTCTTACACTCATACCATCGACCCTTTAACCGCTTTTTCAAAGTCGTCTTTTAATAGTTTAGGGTTTTTCCCCTTTTTGTATGAATGTACTTCTTAGGCATGACTGAAATGAAAAACAACAAATGACCCAGAATATCACTGTCTGTACTTTCCCACAGTATAAAAAAAACCTTGAGGTATAAATTCGAACAGCTGTTTATTTGCATTTTAACTGCTTCAAGTCATCTAATCAATATATAAAAACATTTTATCAATGATTTAATGCATAATGTTGATAAAGAATGCACAATCATAACAGAATGTTGAAAATATATTACCTTTTAAAGGTTTGGAGGTCAGTAAATTTTTTCTGCAATTTTCAAAAATTGGCGCAGGAAAAAGAAGAAGTCGCATGGCTAGTATCTGAGCATGCGCATATCGGATTATATGATGGCCTACACAATATTATATAAATTAGATATGCAGTGGAGAAGGGAGAGGGAGGTAACTGGCTTTTTCGTTAGTTAACTGTAAAATATATTGAGACAACAATGATATCGAAAGTAAGTTGTCCGTACTTTACCCATGTCCGATTTTCTCCGGATATCCCCTCCTTCTTTTTTAAATTAGGTCTAATCATTACCTTCTTTGAAGGGAAATATTTAACTGAACCTGTCCTAATATTGTTTAAGCCTCAGACATTCGATTTATTATGAGGTTTAAGAATTTCAGATAACCTTATAATAGGTTCATTACTTGATGCTACAAGTGTCTGTATATCTTGGAAAGATCTATCCTGCCCCTGTGTCTTCTTATCCAGGATTTTCCATATCTCCTTATTCACAGAAGGGGAACCAATATTAATACAGTTCTCTGGATTTTTTTATTTCTGAACAACACTCTCAATATCACACTGTTCGACACAGGCAGTGTTAATCAAATTTGCCAATGAACTATTAACCAGTTGACTCTTTTCTGGGTCTTTCAGCTTTGGAATATCCCAATCTTTCTCTTCTAAGTCTGACTCTATCAGAATCATTAAATAATGCATCAATTATTCTACTTGACAAATTTTTATTACAAAGTTTCTTCTTAAAATGTTCATTTTCTGAAACTTAGACATGAATATTTGGCAAATTTCTCTGGCACTACTCTTGCAGATAGTTTATTCCTAAGGCCTGCCTAAACGAGGTCAGGTCAGACAAAATAATATAGAGTGAAATAAGAATCCTTAAAGAAAGCCCAACGCGGCAAAATTGAAAATGTTGCAGGCTCGGTTTGATTGAGCCTGTTCATGGACGGTACTGTCAAGTGCAAACTACCGTCCACGCCTCCTAGCACCGGCTTAAGCAAAATTCAACATTTAACATGAACTGGTAAAATTATGAATTTTGAAACATCCGCAGATATATCACGGAACCTTCAATGTGACATGTTTGTGCCATTCCATGAAAAGCGGCATATGGTCCCCAAGTAAAACAAATGTGTGTTCCCCAAACGAGAAAACAATGGGAGGAACTAAATAAAATGGCATTTTGAAAGGGGATCTGAGGTTATGAAGCCTGCATATCACAACTTTGATACATCAAAATTCATACCCGAACTTAACTTCTTCGTTGTTTTCCTTTATTTTTTTCTTTCTTTTAAACTTTAAAGTGTCTATACCCTTCTGTTTCTTCGAAACTTTGACACATCGTATAGTATATCGAGAAGATTCTGCTTTATTCACGGTATTTTCCGGAATAACAATAGTACTGTAATTTTCTTGAAGAAACTGTTCATTATCACTATGCAAATTAGAGTCACTAAATCCAGAAAACTCCTCCTAGTCTTCTCTAGCAGACAAAAAGTCCGATGAAGATGAGTAACAGGTTTGGTGACGATGTTAGGCAAGGAAGATATGATGTATGAAAGTGGAGATAATGTTGACTTTGTTTTTCATGAGTAAAAACATTAAATACTAGACAATCTAGACTTTATGCCTTTTATTTGCTTAGAAAGGGCCCTTTTTCTTTTTTTGGAGAAGTTTACTATTTACAGTAGACTAGTGACACACTGCTGTGCAGGAACAGACTTATTAGGAGTATTAGAAGTAGTAACAGAAATATTGGCCTGAGGGGTTGCATGCTTAGAGGAAAGAGGGAGAGAAGTTGTTAACCGAGACAAGCGTAAGTTTTTTTTTAATGGCTTTTAACTTTTAACGAAGAGTATGGAAGTTGAGGTTTTTTGAAAATGAAATTTATAGGCATTTTTAAGCTTTATATTACGAAGGCCTGACCACAACCTACCCTGCAACATTTTATTCTTGGACATTTTATCAAGATTGCATGGTATTTTGCTAAGCAACCTTTTTAGATGCAAGCTATAATTAGCAACAGACTTAATAACCTTTTGCTGTTTATTATAAAACTGTTTTTTCAACCTTTTAGTTGAATGAACATTACCATAAATGCCATTTAACTTATTTAAGATTTTAGGAACAGTGGCATTTTTACCTAAATGCAAAAGAACACCTTTGGCACTGCCTTTGAAAGATTTACGAATGGCCTTTTTAATAATAAATGGTGGATAATTACCCTTATTAATGACACAATTGACATTATAGCTCCATATTTTAAACATTGACAAGTTGTGTTTTTTATTTTTTGAAAAAGAAGGTAACTTAGGGATACGGGCATGTTACTGTAAATAACTAAGTTTTTATTTGTTACAAAAGACAAGTATGGTTGAGGGTTAGGCATGGGTAGAGGAGGAATGTTGTAAACAGGTGGAGGAAAGTGAATATGATGTGTACCTGTTGTGCTGAAATGTTTATTAACCTATAGCTCTTCAGTGCTTCTTATGTAAAATTCTTCCAAGTATAATTTCCAATAACCGTAAATTATACCATACCCAGACTATGGTATAATTTTCAGTTTTGAAAATTATACTATTGCAAACTAACCTGAAAATAAAATAAAACACAAAACAAGAAGCAAGGTACAGAAATTTTATTTTCAGTCACAAAATAAATCTCATTAGGCTGAGAAAATCGAGACATTTTGGCCAGAAAACACATGCCAAAATGTAAAACCAATGTATCAAATTGTCAGTTTTTACCCAAGTTAAATACACAATTATTGTAAACAGTTTTTAGCATTCTTTTCAAAGATTTTCTGAACAGGACTCTCCATTTCTAATTTCTTAGGCTTTTTCAAGATCCACAAGAGAATTGTTTTCAAGTTTCACCGCTTGTCACCGTTGATGAGACCATTTGCTTCTTGGAATCAAGTACATTTGAAATATCTCTCAAAACTGGTCACATGAGCGGTTGTTTATATTTTCGAACACCTTGGACACTACGGTGTCCTGTACGATCCATTATACTCTGTTCGTCAACGCCAGCTTGATACAAGGTTTCTGCGCACATGCGCTTTCCAGACTGATTTGTGAAATTGCCTTCGAGACCACTGCAAATATTTTTCATCATGTTTTTAAGTTTGTTTTTACCAAGAACTTGAGCAGATAATCTTTTAGTATCTTTAATTGGACGTTTATAAAATTTTATCACACCGTCTCCTAAAAGACTCGTATAATCTTGATACACCTTGTATATCTTATCAGAAGAATAGTGTTTAATGTTTTTGTTCTCCACCTTTTTGTGTTTTAAACCACCTTTAAAAGTTTTGTCGTCTCTACCAATAAACTGAATGAACTTTCCGCCATCATCTTCGGAAATAATAAACTGGTCACTTTCAAGATTGTAATGTTCGTCTCTGCCTCGCATTCCAAACAATTTACAATTGTAAAAGAACACTGCATTCAACAGGCTTTCTGCATTTTCATATTTAAATTTTCCTGTACTCCACAACAATTCTTCCTGTTCTGCACTTACAGGATCAGCCTGCTTGATATTGGCACCGATGCCCTTGCTAGTCACATACTTCATCTGTGCATCTAGACATTTACGAAATGTTAAGAAACGATCGTCCTTCTCGTTCATATACATTTGTAATTCATATTTGGAATGCCGGAGTCTCGAAGATATCTCAAGATTCCACTAGCAATAAGATAAAGTGACCAGGCTTGGTAGAAACTTCCATCCCGCTTCTTGACCTATTAAAATGTGACAATTTAGAATTAATACACGAACAAAATTGGCAACACACTATTACATTGGGCATCGACATCGGACAGGCTGGTATGTATGCCGATTGATATAGAGGTTGTCAGTCCAGAGATTTTAAACATTGTGACATACATAGCCATGCATGTATTTATCAAAAAAACTCAAATCAGAAAAATTCTAGATTTAAATATACTTTTCTATTACTTTCAACTCCCTATGTTTGCATAATTGTAAAAGAAATTTCCATTTAATTTCCAATAATAACGACAATGCTATTGAAAAAAGATGAAATTCATGGCACAAATTAAAATGCTACGCTTTTACAAGGTTAGGACTATCTTTTTTCCTATTATATTTAGCCATTTATCTGTCAAAGCTGTTTTTTGCGAAATAATGGAAATTATCGAAAACAGCTAAAATGGTATTTATCTCGATATGATAAAAACTATTGCTTACAATATCATACAAAAATACTGAATTACAAGAAAAATAATGAAAATTAGAATAAATCAAACTGTACCTCCATGAGAAAATGGCTGAGATGGTTGTTCACATCGTCTACATTAAAATCCTCTAATGGCGGTACCTGTTGGCTAAGTTTGCCGGCATTTCTGACCGTACGCCATTCGTTGAAGGCATTTAATGCCCAATTTGTTGTTTTTTTGGTATTTTTTGGAACAGACTGCTCCAATCGTTCACGTATGTCACAATCCTCAAGGCTATCAAAGCGGCTTGTCTCAGAACATTCTAACGCCGTTGGCAACGGTATATTCATGGATTTTTTGTCTTGATTTTCAGAAAGCAAAATGTTGCTTTGATCACTTTCGTCCATGTTGATTGATATTTCGTTGATAAAGTCCTAGACATTTTGTGTTAGAAGAAAATTCACTCCAACTGTATCAATCCCCAGATCTCTCTCAGCCTGATCAAGGTACTGAGATAAAGCCATATCTTCTTCATAAATGTCCAGATGTTGAGACAAAATTTTGTCTTCTAAATTTTCTGTGAACGACAAATTGACATTCCAAGCCATGCCGAATCATGTGAATGTACCCGTTTACTTGAAGTAAAACTTTAAAATGAGACAGACGACTGAATAGAGAAAAGGGTCCATGCCACTACCAATGAAAATGTAGCTTCCACGCGGGGAAAAATCAGCCCATTATTTTGATTGACAGCTCATTTCACGTCTTTGCTGCTATGCAAATTCAGATCAAAGGGATAAGATTTTCTGGGCGGAGCAATAGGTTAAAACAGTAGCGTCATGTTATTTTGATTGACAGCTCATTTTACGTCATTTCTGCTATGCAAATTAAGATCGAAGGAGTAAGTGTTTCTGGGCGGAGCTATAGGTTAAAACAGATACACCATTGGTGCGTTGGCGATTGCTGGGCTTGCGTAAATTATACCATAATCACATGACCTTTCTTATGCAACCTCACTCGACTTCGTCTCGTGAGGTCAAGGCATAAGAAAGGTCACGTGATTATGGTATAATTTACGCAAACCCAGAAATCGTCAACGCAGCAATGGTGTATCTATTACAAATACATTTGCTTTGCCAGAAGCTCGGCTCATATCTTCGATATGTCCACAAATATCAGTTACCACAACTTAAGATGGTAAAAATAAACCAACACAACAACAAAATTATAAAATTAAAATCCTAATAATATCCTGAAAACACATTAAATTCTTGAAAAAAAACCAGCGAATCAAACGGCATGACTACGTTCATGCCTCGACAAAATAACTATAAGTTGCAGGTTCTACTGCGGTTACATTGATCAGGGGTATGTCATGTGACTCAGTGACAGTTTTATTCTATTTTTAAACCAGCGATGGCTATTTCAGAGGTCAAGGTAACATGCTAGTGTGTACATGTGAAAGCCAAAGGCTTTACGTAAAATGATGACAATAATTATACAAAAATGTACCGGCTCCCACAAAGTACATTGTATTTGTAAAAAATTTATTTCATTAGAAACCAATCAAGGGCAACGATAATTACAAAAGAAAATAATGACTTTTAATACAAATAGACATTATACTAAGTAGATATTATGATAGAAATAATGGCAAAAAGATGAGTTTTTATAATGACTCGAATTATTCTTCACTGAACGGCAATGACTAATTAAGAACAAGGCATATTCATGCTCTGCGAACAGTTGTATTAAATGTATATATTGTCCACCAAAGAAACAATTTAAACAAACCCGTACGAAAACTTCCGCCCTGAAAAAAGCAGAAATTCCGCCTAGCTACTAGGCGTAATCCGTCTAAGGCATTTCAGGATTACATATCACAGATTCCTCCTATAAGCAGGAATACGCTGCGAAATATGCAAATTTTCTTAGGAGGAAAACAGTTAGGGTAGCAGGAAAAAAATCCTCCTTAGAAAATTTAACCAGGAAAAAATTCAGCTTAAAGAAAGCACTAGCAGGAGAAAATTCCGCCTTAGGAAAATTCTTAGCTGGAAAAAAATCCGCCTAAAATATTTTAACCAGGAAAAAAATACCTACTTAGAAAATCACTAGCAGGAGAAAATTCTTCCTAAGGAATACTAGCAAAAAATCCGCCTAAGGAAATGAAGTTATTCAATTTTGTGATAGTACACTTATAAAGCTGAATTATGGATGGATACAACATTATTTTTTAGCTGCATAAGAATTATTGGAATCCAAAATTGCAGACAGACAATAGGTGATCACAATTACAAAGCTTTTAAGTTATTTTTGTGAGCTTTACCATAATGTTTTCTACATTAGGGTGCATGTACAGTAGGTAAAAGAGTCACACAAAAAACAGAAACACGAGTTATATTTTTTATTGCACTGCTATTGTATTGTTTAATCCATGGCAAATTATTTCATTTTATTTCACTGTAAATGTTTTTTGTTCAGCCAGTTGTTTTCATTTTTATTCCAAGCATAACTGATCTGCTTTAACTTATGGTATCGTTAATATCCTTGTCCGTGACTCCTCCCCTCCATTCTTTTTACACCAGCTTGAGACATATCCTGAAACACAAAACAGTCATCAGTAAAACACTGCCACCACTAATATCTTATATTATTGTTTCTTGTCATTGTATGCAGTTATTATTATACATGCATTTAAACTATAATTCATTACAACCAAACTTAGTGTTACAAATTTACTCTCAAACTTAATGCAAAATTATTTAATTTATTTGAAATATATTTTTATTGTTTAAATGTATCCAAAAGTTACTAACCTGAATTTTTATGATATTGGTATTATCTTCTTATCCAAGGTCATAATGTAGCATTCAAAATTCATTTACAACTGAGCATATCCAGATTAATGTCATTTTCATTCACAAGGCTAAGTCTAATTTTTTTTCTTTGAAAAATTCAAAAATATTCAATCCTTACACTTTAACCTAAATATTATCTCAAAAATTGCTTATATATTATCACCACAATTTTTAACTATCAATAAAATCCTTTGTTATTTGCTTTATTTCCACAGTGTCTAAGCTTCTGCTGACCCATATTTCCTAGATTTCAAATTATGGACAAGTCCATGATATGATGGTAAACAGGGATAATCCAACCCATCGTTTTATTTTCACAATTATATATAAATACCAGAAAATAAATGGAAAAAGAATCCAAAATTCATAATAAATATCTTTAAAAAAAACTTTGCAAAGTCTTTCTTAACAGACTCATCATATAAAATGTACAAAGTAACTGTTGCTTCCCCCCAAATAAATCACATGGAACAGTCTCGACTGTAGCAGAATTTACGATCTGACCTGTGTGTTATCAGGTCTGTGGTGTTTACATCATAGTAGAGTGGTTACTAGAGGCTAGTATTAGTATTTATTTATCTTGTGGATAAGAAATTTTCAGGGATATTACTCATTTTTAATTATATTACATTTAAAAAGCTTAATATACGAGTTTAGTTCATACCCAAATTTAACACAGTGAAATATATTCTATGCAAAAGTCATCACAACATCATTATATAATATGTTCTAAGTTTAAGTTTTGTTGTAGAGTTTTTTTTTTCAATTAATGATTATGTATGTTTATGTTTGTACAAACAATATTTTAGTTTTGAAAATTAACACTGAATAAAAGCAGCAAAATAATTGTTGATCACTTAATAATCGATTTATTATATACTTGTCATCTGCAGAAATTTCTCCAAATTCAGAAATCTGTCTAGTAAAATTTTCTAAGTTCAATTTCTGGTTAACAAAAAAGTCTAAGTACATAATTCCTGTTAACAAATTACTGACAAAATTCTAAGTCCTAAAACCCGTCTAAATTATTGCTCATCCCATATTTTCCGCCTAAGCCTTAGGCGGAATATGAAATTGCTTAGCAGGAATTTTTACAAAATTCCGTGTCCGTCTTAAATTAGCAGGAATTCTTATATACACGGAAATTTTAAGCGTTTTCCTGCTTATATTAGGCGGAATCCTGCTATCTTTTTCGTACGGGATGTATAACTTTCAAATATTCTACATTGTACCCAAGAAAAACTTATCTTTCCATACACTCATTTTCAATGCATCCGCGAAATGAGCCATGACCAAAGTAAATCAGCCATATAAATACCAGTATCAGCGTCAAATATTTGCAAATATTACGCAAAATATTATTTTGAATAAACTAAGAGAACTTTGAAAGCACATAAGAATATGTAATAATCATTCAAAGCTTACATTGTCTTCAAGTATAATGTATCGATTCGTATTCGGCGGCAACAAAAATTTTCAGTATAACAAGTGCAAAAGTGCACGCACAAGATTTTTTCCAGGAAAAAAACAACACATCAATACAGTTCCATTTTCTTTTCTTCCATTTGTAAAGTTTCTTTATTTTGCTTTGCCTGGATTTCTCTGTCTTCTGTCATATTTTCCTGCTTTTCTTTCATTATACTAAGAACTTCATCAGAGCTAGATGATGCATTGTGTTTGAATTTCTTTTTTCCTGTTCCCTCTGGAATGTTTGATCTAATACTAGTTTTCTCATCCACTTCTTGTATATCTGTAACCATAACTTTCTTCCGGCTCAGCAAATTACAGACATTCTTAACTGCATCCCTGACCTAGAATTGTGGTCCACTGTATCTCTGTATGCTCTACTTGTTTATAGTTAAAATGATATCCAGAATGTTTCATTTCGTCAGCAATCATTCCCCAAACTGACTTTTTTCACACTAACTTTTTTAGTGAAAAGTCCAGTCCCTCTTTCTCTGTGTGTAGTTTTATTAAAATCTATAGGTATGAACAAACTTTTACAGTTATGTCTTCGAAAATAAGCCCAACAGGTTGACTAATGTATTGTGACAGGTTGTCCACCATGAAGCTATAACAGTAAAAGTTTGTACCTACGAATTGGCTGGGAAAAACCCACATTTGCAGAGTTCCGGATAACATCATTCCATTACACATAGATATTTTGGCCCGGCACACCAACAGGGCACCAATAATCTCTTCTGACAAGTCATAATCTGATTCAGGTATATTATAAGATTGGAGAAGGTTTCATAAAGTAGGCTCGTTAAGGTTTTATTGGCTTACACTGCATATATATGCTGCTCTTTTTAAAAAAAATTGTATCAATGTTTTTCTGAACTTGGCAACAAAATTTTTTTCCCCAATCCTTTCATATTTTTTTTTAAACCAGATTTTCTGAAAGATTGGTGTTAAATGTTGATGGGCATTAACTTATTTCCTAAGTGCTTGAACAACTCTTTCATTTTCTTAGTGATGTAATTAGATCTATATGATAAATAATAATTGTTAATTAATATTTGAGGAGAAATTATGTATATGATTAATTGTTGTTTAATTTAATTTTTATGTTAAAACAATTAATTTTAGTGTGTATATATATATATATACATGTATTAGCAAAATGTTATTTATAGATGAAAAACTGAGAATTAGATATTTTTATTACATTGTAAAGCAATAGCAGTAATTTACATTGAACAAAATGTTCTCACTTGACAAAACAATTATAAGTTGTAAATTTACATTTCAGCAAAATGCAATTATATGATATAACAATTGTTAGATTATAATGTGAGCCATATGTTATAACCCCTTAACCTGCGAGAACCAGAAGTGATAAGCATTTGCTACCAGTATAGAACCAGGCCAGCCTGTACATCCGGACAGTCTGATTAGTCTCTATACTATGTATTCTATTCTAGTATAATATATCCCCATAATAGATATTATCCGGAAATTGGCAAGTGTGGGGTTTTCCCAGCTAATCCCTACAGCTAACCTGCAGGTAAAAACAAACTGTTACTATTATAGCTTCAGGGTGCACTTTCCCTGACATTAGATTAGTCAACCTGTTATTTTCAAAGCTGTAACTGTTAAAGGTTGTATATACCTACAGATTATCTTTGAAAAACCCAAATATTATTAGCTATTGATAATGAGCCATTCCAGAAATAATGTTGGACAAGTCCATTTAAGTAATTCAGCAGATTAAGGGATGATATAGATTAGATAAGACAATTATTGTGAATTTATGTGAGCAAAATATTATTACCAGATAAAAAAAATGATAATTATGACTTTTTATAGCTGATATTGAGCAAGATTTTATATGTCAGTATTATTTTAGGAAATTACAGCAGTCTTTTCTTAGGATATCTGTTTTTAAGAAAAATGTGATGCTATTGTGATTGCTGTGTTGTCATTGTTCTCTTTTAGCCCTTCAAAAGTTTTGAACATGAAGCTTGGAATACTTGCCTTTAAAATCTCGACAATGTGCAGATGTTAAACAAGGGGCAAATTCTTTTTGACTTTGAATTTTTGTCAGTAGTCTGGTTGCCCTTAACAGATGAGCATTAACACGGCATCCATTGCTGTTTTTTGGTCTTGTATATAAATAAAATTTTATAATACAATATTATTGCTAGACATAGTTTTTGTTGAATAAAATAGTATTTTTGTATGTTACATTGTATGTTCCTTAAATTATCAAAATGAATGATACCTTTGTTTCTAGGGAGATTATTAGCATATTAGCATATTATTGAAATTGATATATTTTCTAAACTATTATCTTGTGTGATACATATTTATGTAACCAGTACTTAATATGATCTCAAGAAATTATGTTCAACCTTTACTGAACTTACTAATAAATTATCATTTATTTGAGCAAGCATTGTTTTATTTGTTTATCCTATCCTCCTTTGTTTTCTTTTCGTATTTCAATATAATGCAGCTTGTATTTTTATTTACAAATAAATGACTGTAAACTTTAAAGGTTTTAAAGCTACATGCCTCCAGATGAGTCAAAATATTTCAATAAAATCAAACTTGAGAAAAATGTCTACTAAGATGAAGGGAAAAGTAAAAATTTCGAGATTCAAGTCATATTTTACATATTATTTATGATTAATGACTGAATTTTCAGTATTTACAACTATATTTCTACTGAGTTTCTAACACAGTAAAGGCTATTTATGCATATTTTGACCACTTTTTGGTTATTTACATGGTTTGTAAGTGTCATTGATAATGTGTAAATTGCTTCCTTTTGGTTACTTCACAATAGTACACATTCAAATACATTTTCAAAATTTTCATGAAAATTATCAAAACCGCCTCCGTGGTCGAGGGGTTAGATTCGATGACTTCTAATCCAGTTACCTCTCTGGCGTGGGTTCGATCCCCGGGAGATGCTTCGGTAGTTTAGCGCGGAGGAAGGTAGTCTTGTACTGGTGTAACTCTCCAGGAACGATGGTTAGGAAACTACCCGCCTATATGACTGAAATACTGTTGGAAAAAGGCGTAAAATGAAACAAACAAACAAACAAACAATCATGAAAATTATCATGAATCTGGAGGTGTGCTGCTTTAAACCAGTATGTTGAAACATATATTTCTTCCCCCAAAAGCTGTGCGTATATTATAGTACTTTCCATATCTATACATCTGTCTGTTCGTCCAAGAATGTATCAGAATCATAAAACTTGGTTATTTTCTTAAGGACTTCCTCTAAACTTAAATGATCTCCTTAAACAGCTGTTATTTGTTGCTTGCAGGATCCCTGTGTGTGACTTGCAGGTCAAGGTCACACAGAGGCCATGATGGAGCCTTCCTCCATGCCTGGCCCATAGCATAAAGTTAAACATTATTTGAAGGATTTAGGCGAACATAGCAGAATTATTTGACATGAAATTAAGTGTTAACTGTTTGGTGGAAACCCAGAGATAAAATAAAAGATAGGCCAAAAAACGAGTCTGTTTTTATATGTGTAGTCTATAACTTGTTATTGTTTCTGTATGGATTTTAAAATTACTTGGCATATCAAAGTTCACCAATCTGAGATATGACAAATTCAAGATTTTGCACCCTAGCTGAAATGTTAAGGTCACACATAGTGGTCCAAGTCCACAAAGGAGTATGTTCATAACTTTGTAATTATGTCTCCCAAAATTTTTAGGAGACAATTGTAATAATTAAAAGAATTGTTTTTGCCTTTGCCGTCTGTCCGGTTGCCCATCCGTCTGCATTAAGCTTGTCTGCCTTTCACAGGTCAAACTACTGGTGGGATTTCAGAGTGATCAGTACCATCCCTTGTTGTGCACATCTCTGGCACATTTGGCATTGCTGTACAAAATGGCCGCCAGAGCTAAAAATAGAAAAACCTTGTCCAGCCTACACAGGTCAAACTACTGGTTGGATTTCAACCAAGCTTTACAGGAGTGATCAGTACCATCCCTAGTTGTGTACATCACCTGCATGTCTTCTTTGCTGCACAAAATGGCCGCCAGAGCTAAACATAGAAAATTCTTGTCAGGCAGTCAAAGGTCAAACTACTAGTGAGATTTGATCAGTACCATCCCTAGTTGTGCACAAAACTGGCACGTTCTGCTTCGCTGCCCAAAATAGCTGCCGCGATAAAAAGAAAAATCTTGTCTGGCTTTCACAGGTCAAGCTACTGGTGGGATTTTAATGAAACTTCACACGAGTGACCATACATTGTTTTGGGAGACAAATTTTTGTGACAAAAACCTCTCTAGTTCTTTTATGGATTTTGAAATTACTTGGCACCAATAGGTACAAGCAGGTACAAGACAAATTCTCAAAGGTAAGAAATTTTCTAATTGTTCTTTTGGGTGTTTTTTTTTTTTTGGTAGCAACCTTTGTAATTTTAATGTATCTACCTGTAATTTTTTAAGAATAAACTTTGTTAAACTCAAATTTGTTTTATAATTTTTAAAGAAAAGTCATATTTTTAAGTAAATGTTTCTTAATTTGAAAATAAAGATATTAGAAAAAAAGATTGTATTTAGTATAAAATTAGTATTTATTTCAAATGCTTTTAATGAGATTTTGAGATTCCTGATTACAAAGATTGACTGTGTAATGACAGATACTTTTACAAACACTTAACATTGTGTGAAACTTTACATGAGAAATATCATATGGTCCATGATTGATTCACCTGTGCCACTTGAATGATCTTTGTAATAATTAAGGTGAGTCTACTATAAAAATTGACCAAGATGCTCACAATGTTTAAACTAGTGTCACTATCTGGTGTGTTATCTTGTTTTTATCAGTAATTGCATCACGCAGGGTCGTGGTAGAGCTATAGTCTTATCGTAACATCCTGATGAAATATCAAATACAAAGATAAAAACAAGCATGAACTAGCACAATGCCTTGGAGCGAGCTAAAACTGAAATGGCTTAAAAGATATGGCTACTAGTTTAAGAAAATGGACAATTCCTTCTGTGTATATATGGATTTATATGGTTATATTTTTAGATTGTATGGTATGCAATGGTGATTTGTTTTCCTATACGAATTCCACTCAATCAGTGTTATGTGAAGCCCAGTGCGAGGCCCTCTGTCAGGATAAAGTGGTAATTATTACTATTGTTTTCATATCTAGAATAGTCCATCGTAAATTTTTATGCTCCCCGAAAAATTTCGGGGAGCATATAGTCGCTGCCTTGTCCGTCATTCCGTACGTCCGTCCGTCCGCTTTTCTTGTCCGGGACATAACTTTGAAACAACAAGAGGTATCAACATGAAACTTTGTAGGTAGATAGATCTCATTGAGTAGATGTGCAGTGCACAAGAACCGTAACTCTGCCTTGCCTAATTTCAGAATTATCCCCCTTTGTTTATTTTATACTTTGAACTTTGTCCGGGACATTACTCTAAAACTATAAGAGGTACCAACATGAAACTTTGTAGGTAGATAGATCTCATTGAGTAGGTGTGCAGTGCACAAGAACCGTAAACTCTGCCTTGCCTAATTTTTGAATTATCCCCCTTTGTTTATTTTACACTTTGACATAACTCTAAAACTATAAGAGGTATCCACATGAAACTGTGTAGGTAGATAGATCTCATTAAGAAGGTGTGCAGTGCACAAGAACCGTAACTCTGTCTGCCTAATTTTTGAATTATTCCCCTTTGTTTATTTTTACTTTTTGAACTTTGCCTGGAACATAACTCTAAAACTATAAGAGGTATCAACATACAACTTTGTAGGTAGATAGATCTCATTGAGTAGGTATGCAGTGCACAAGAACCGTAACTCTGCCTTGCCTAAGTTTTGAATTATTCCCTTTTGTTTATTTTCACACTTTGAACTTTGTCAGGGACATAACTCTAAAACTATAAGAGGTATCAACATGAAACTTTGTAGGTAGATAGATCTCATTAAGTAGGTTTGCAGTGCCTAAGAACCGTAACTCTGTCTTGCCTAATTTTGGAGTTATTGCCCTTTGTTCATTTTGACACTTTGAACTTTGTCTGGGACATTTCTCTAAAATAAAAGAGATATCAACATGAAACTTTGTAGATAGATAGGTCTCGTTGGGTAGAAGTGCAGTGCTAAAAAATCATAACTCTGCCTTGCCTTATTTTGAAGTTATTGCCCTTTGTTTACTTTTACTTTTTGACTTTTGTCCGGGACATAACTCTAAAACTATTAGAGATATCAACATGAAACTTTGTAGGTAGATAGATATCATTGGATAGAACTGCAATGCTTAAAGAACCTAAACAAAGCCTTGTCTAATTTTGGAGTTATTGCCCTTTGTTCATTCTTACACTTTGAATTTTGCCAGGGACATAACTCTGAAACTATAAGAGATATCATCAGGAAACTTTATAGATAGATAGATCTCATTGAATAGAAGTGCAGTGCAAAAAAACTCGGCTTTGCCTTATTTTGGAGTTTTTGCCCTTTGTTCATTTTTATATACTTTCCTGTGTCCAAAACCTTCTCGGGGAGCATCACCTGGTTCAACCGGTTCTTGTTTTGTTTGTTTTTTATGCCAATTTTGTTATATCTCGGTTGTTTCAACCTTAAATGCTTTCCTAACAAAACCTGAGTAACCTCCAATTTCTCAGTAAGTGACTGACTACTAAGTATACCGCATGATTTCAGAATTACATATTATGAGAGAAAAATTACCACTACACTCAATGTTCGAAATCAACAGAAAATTTAAAAAATAAGCATTTAATAAAAATTTGAAGAAAAGTATAATAAAGAATTAATATTTTGGAAAGGCAAGTAGTTTTCTGGCCATTTTTTGGTCCTCTTTGGTAATGAATAAGTAGCTGAAGAGCCAGTAGGAACTATTTTGGAATTTTGTTTGTCAACATGTCTTTCTTTCTACATAAATACAACACTCTTGAATTTCATACCAAAGTTATCTTTAGTGTCCAACTTTATTTGTCATCCAATGAAAACGCTGTATTTCTTAAAAATTCTGTGCGTTAATTTTCATAAAAGAACAAAAGTCGATACTATATCGAATTCCGTTCATAGTCGACTTCTATTTTTCATAGTACTTCATAGAACGTCATAGTGACGTAATAAAGTGAGTGATTATAAGGCCAAATAAAGTTTGACACTAAATATGTTAGTATTCATCCGTAGCTGTTCTACAGAAATTAGAAACATTCTCCTGTCGCTATCGCTCCCGTCGAAGTTTCTAATTTCTGTAGAACAGCACGGATGAACACTAACATATACATAGAATCATTAACCGTAATATGTCTGTTTCTATTTTTATTAAGCCCCTGCCATAATTTCTATTTTTATTTCTCCCCCACCCCACCCGCGCGATAAAATGGGGAAGGGGCATATAGTTTTACCCTTGTCATTTAGTGTGTGTGTGTGTGTGTTATATTCATGTACTTCATATCTGGGTCAAAACTCCAGCACGTATAATGGGATTTAAATTGGTACACATGACCACCATAAGAAGATGATGTGTCTTGCGCGACACCCAGGTCAAGGTGGTACTTATTTTCCTCACTGAGCTTATTAGCTTAGGATTGAATTTATATCTTATTTTTCCATCAAATTAACATTAAAGAAAGCAAAAATTAGCGTAATTGGACTTTCATCATTTGTAACTGCTTTGTACAGGGGTATATATGTAGAGATTTTTTATGACAAAACAGTTAAATGTTGGCACATCTGTGTCTTATGATGGGCACATTCCTGGTTTATTTTGCTGTTGCTAAATTATGGCACTGGCAGATTATTTCTGATAATGAATGTTTGTTATGCTGTCAAGCAAAGTATTTTTAATGTAATAAAAAGGAAGGATGTCCATATGGTTCACATAAAATAGTTTGAATAGAATAATGAGATAGTATTGACTGGACAATATAGGATTGTTCAGCCTGAAAGTCTTTATCATTCAATATTGTTTCCATTGTTGGTGCAACCTTTAACTGAGTTATGTCCTTGAAAATTTCATAGTTTCATATGAACTTTGCTAGGAACATCGTATTCAAAGCAGCATTTTTTCATGAAAATGTATCTGAATGTTTAATATTATTAAGTAACCAAAAGGAAGCCATTTACACATTTTCCATGGCATAAATAGCCCTTACTGCGTTAGTAACGCAGTAGAAATATAGTTGTAAATACTGAAAAATCAGTCATTAATCGCACAGAACATGTAAAATATTACTTGAATTCTGAATCATTTTACAAATTTTTCTTTTCTGAAGTTTGATTTAATTGAAAAATTTTGACCCGTCTGGAGGCATGTAGCTTTAAGGTTCGATCTAGTTATTTTATAGTGCTATGCCTGTTTGTGTCTGAAAATAATCTAAGAGAGGATTCCTTAAAATAATCTCTGCTAATAAAACTTGAAATTGCCTTTATTATCTCTACAGTATTGGTATGACTAAAAATCCTTACAAACATGTCATCAGATTTTATGTTTTAAATTTGTCTAGCTCTTAATTTTGGAAATGCCTGTTGTCAGATTCTGACAATTTTAGCAGGGAATATTGTATTTAACCGTTGTTTACTTTGTCACAAAGGATTGGTTATCATCTTGTAACTTTGAATCAAATGTTGTTTGGTTTATACATAATTTTTTTAGTTTGATTGTGTAGGAAGCCATAACTTGATAAGCTTATAGACACACTTTCAATCCGTTCCTGGAACCAACCAGTACTGAGCAATGAGTGTAAAGTTTCTTGCTCAAGGAAACAACGACTTGCCCCTGACAGGGTTTGAACCCATGTGGCTAGCGATCATTAGATTACTAGTCCGACGTGTTAACCACTCAGCCATGCCGCCACTAATTGTCGTTTGAACACATGGTTTGAACATGCATGTATTTTAAGGCTCGTTTTAATCAATAATGACCTATTATTTTTAACTACATAAAGTTTGAAATTTAAATGATTCCAGTACAGGTTGTATATAAGTAGTGTTACATAACAGATAAAAAGTTGTTGTTAAAAATGGTGTACTATATATATGTAAACATAGTAAAACCTTATCAATGCAAATGAAACAGATGTTCTCATCCATGTTTTTGTTCGTCTTGGAGGACAGTTTTAGGTCACAAATATAGTTGAATAGTATTTTCACATCATAGGTACACATGTATATCAAACTTGATATATTGTTTTAAATTACTATTTATAGACAAATTGTCATAAAAAAACTAGACAAACCCACTTGTAATGATTAGAAGTCTTCTGACGGCTAAGCTCAATAGGGAGAGCATAGTATCAGTGGTATAAGGTTTGATCCCCATGTGAGGCAAAGTTTCTGTGTGATAATTAATTGCAGACATTGAGTTAAATGGTCATTTGTCTCTTATTGCTGATTCAGAAATCATGTTGAATTAGTAGTCGGTCACTTGCAGAGATATTGATAATAAGGCCCCCACGGTTACACGTTAAACGGATTTGTTTCGATTTTCATTCATAAAACGTTTATGATATTTTTTACCATTTAATCGAAATGACCATATTGTCTTACAAATATCTTGATCATTGCCTGTAATCACGGATTTTATCAATTCTAATTGGTTTATTCCAAAGTGTGTTTACAACCCTGCACACAGCATCACTGTGCAATAATCACTTGTGACATAATACATTTTTGGTAAAGTTTTATTTTTCTTTGATCTTTCAAAAGAGCGAAATGGGGATACAATGCAGAAAATATGTGCTGCCATGACACAATCATGATGAGGCCTGAACATAATTTATTTGTACATGACTTTTTGTATCAAAAATAGAAAGTAATTCATCATTTGGAGACTTGAATACATGGTGTAGTATAGAACATCGGTATCGTTTCGGTTCTAAGCAATCATACAAACGTTTACAAAAAATTGTAAACGTAGGAGCCTTAATTGGTAATTGCTGGAATTATTTTGGAAAATCATTTTTGTGACAACTGAGAAATAACCAAAATGTGCTATAATCAATGTAAAATAAAACAATCAAGAAACTCTTGTCTGGTGATGTATAGGTTATTCAAAATTAAATTTAAACTTTTTTATAATCAGGAAACTGTAGAGTTTTTAGTAGGTTTAGTTATTTATTTAGTTAACAGCTATATCAGGCTAACAATGTATCAAGAGATTGATAATAAACCATTTTTATGCCCCAGAAGGGCGACATATTAAAAACGCACCGTCTGTCTGTGCGTCCCCACGTCGTTCTTGTCCGGACTGTAACTTTGTCATACATTTCAGGATTTTGAAATAGCTTGGCACCACATCAAAGTAATATGTTGCGTCCAAGAATTATGTCCCTACCTCAGACATCAAGGTCACACTGACATTTTGAAGTTTCACATTATCACAATTACAGTTAATGGGTACCCAATTCGTGTCCGAACTGTAACTTTGTCATGCGTTGAAGAATTTTAAAATCAATGAACAATAAATGTCTACCACATCATGACGATGTTTCACATCCAAGAATTACAACATCTCTACCTCAAAGGTCAAGGTCACACTACCATTTTGAAGTTTCACATCATTACAATTAGAGTTAATAGGTAAACACATTCGTGTCCGGACTGGAACTTTGTCATGCATCAAAGGATTTTAAAATAACTTGACATAAATGTCTACCACATGAAGACGACATGTTGCATTCAAGACTCATGTCCCTACCTCCAAGGTCACTCCTACAGTTAGAAGGTACTCATTTTCATAAGAAGAGTTTGAAGATACACATTTGTGTCCGGACTGTAATTTTGTCATGCATTGAAGAGTTTTAAAATAACTTGGCACAAATGTCTACCACATCAAGACGCCGTGTTGTGTGTAAGACCCATATTCCTACCTCTAAGGTTAAAGGGACTCCACTGAAGTTTAAAAAGACTAAAAACATATTAACGTATTTGAATTTCTTACATAAATGAGCTGGGGCATTTTAAACAGAAATATATGCAAAGAAAGTTAAGACATATACTTTAAAATAAATTGAAAATCGTATTTTTATCCTTTACTTAGCCCGATTTGAGTGAAAAGCGTTTAAACGCTTTTCATTTTGGGTCATTTTTTTACAATTTGAATAATTATTCTGGAAAAACGAAGAGCGCAAATGATCTGAAATTTTGCACAAAGATTAGTGGTCTAAACCTACATCAAATTGTACATTTATCTGGAAAAAATATTTTCAGTCCCATCATGTCAAAAAACCTCAGTGGAGTCCCTTTAAGGTCACTAATAATTTGAAGGTACTTATGCTCATAAGAAGAGTTTGAAGGTACACATTAGTTTTATGAAACCTTTTTGGGGGCATTTGTCACTTTTGCGATTGATAGTTAAACAGGTCTATTGAAAAAAATCAGTAGATTTAGGTTGTATCATCAGCACAAATAGGTTTACTGTTTATACACTGCACAGAATATATAGCCCGCATGTATTGAATACAGTTTAGAAATTAAGTTTCAACAGTTTGAGTCTATTCCTTAGAAAAGTTAAAATTAATAAAAGGTTAAGCTTTCTTATCGTTTTTGTTACCATGATAACCTTGTACTTACAATATATGAGCCGTGTCATGACAAAACCAACATAGTGCGTTTGCGACCAGCATGGATCCAGACCAGCCAGTTCGCTATCAGTTTCTCTACTTGTTATAGAGTTTGTAAGCGAACAGCATGGATCCTGATCAGACTGCGCGGATGCGCAGGCTGGTCTGGATCCATGCTGGTCGCAAACCCATTATGTTGGTTTTGTCATGACACGGCTCATATGTATAATTTCAGTCAAACTGTATCCCAAAATGTGCAGGACAAAGACATTGGATGGCCGACTGTGATGTGAGTGTAACTTTATTGAATGCATTACTGTGAAGTTACTTGATTTTGAGGACATGAAATTTTGTGCATTTACCTAAAAGCACCTTTGGTTTATACAGAATTTATTTTAGTTTATTTTGTATGAAGCCATAAGCTTACACTTTCAAATCTGTTCCTTGAACCAACCAATACTGGGTAATGATTGTAAAATTTCTTGCTTAGTGAAACAACAACTTGCCCCTGACAGGGTAGAGATCATGAGATTACTAGTCTGATGTGTTAACTACTCAAAGCACATTTGTATGGGTTCTTAAATTCAGATTACTTTTGTCTGTATTTCAGAGACCAAACTGTACCTCAACATGTAGTGTTTTATATGCCTATCACTGTAAGTATAATTTTACCTGTACTTAAAATAACAGTTGCAAAACTTCTCCTCTAAAAGGATCCATGTTGATTTATAAATGAACACTAAATTTTTTGACGATAATTCTGGTTCAGATTTTATCATCTGAAAGTTTACTAGAGGAAGTGGAGGACAAAGAGAAAGTTTAGATAAAACAGTAAGTGTTTTTTATATGACATAGATTATGGTATGGCATTGTCTGTCTGTAGACCCTATGATTTTGCTGGGTAACTTTCGAAGAATTTTAATGATTATGTATATATTTTGCATGTAAGTACATTGTATTTTATTTGATAACACAGGTTTTTAAGTCAGATTTTTTCGAAATGAAGTCATTATTAATAGAGTAATGCCCCTTTATATAGAAATCTTCTGCGGATTTCTTTCTTGCCCTTGTTTCCTCTGTGTAACTTTTGAAGGATCTCAAAGATTGCGATTATATTTTGTATGTCAGTATGATCAATCAAATCATTATTGAAAGAGTTATGCTCTTTTTATGCAAATTATTTGTGAAAGTAATTTTTGCTTTTGCAGTATGCCTATTGAAAGATTATTTATATTGATCACATATAACTGTGTAAGTGTGTAATGTTCATTCTTTGAAGTATTTCAATTTTGATCACATTTATGTCCTTTTAATTTTGTTGCTGATTGATAAAGGTAATTGTCTTCAAACCACTTGCTTCTAACTGCTGTGGGTTCGAATCTCATCATGGAATTGGATTTTTCTTGTGAGGAAACTATCCAGTTAGCTTACAGAATGTTGGTGGTTCAGGTGCTTTGTTAATTTGATATTGGGTGTAAATTTCCCCACCTCAGCAGAGCTCTAGTCTTATAAGAATACCTAATTGTATTTACAGATCAAAACAGAGGTGAACTGGTACATGTTCCCCATGTCTCACTGAACCGGACAGGGCCTCTAACTATAGAGCTAGCTTGGAATGTACCCACACATATATCGCCTAACCCAGCATCTAATGTATCAACCATCATCTACATTGTGGAAGAAACACACCCAGATCCTAGGTTACAAGGTGTACATTCAGTGTCAATTAAACAATGGGTAAGTAAAGATATTTGCATTCTGATAAAGTTGCAATATCTAGTCAGTTGTTAGTCTGTTTCTGCCATCATTTGAGATGAAAATAAGCCAGTGTTTAACCCTTAGTCTGGCCCTGCATTACAGTTTATTTGGGGGCAAGATAGTAAGGTTAAAATAGCCAAACTAACAGTGTTGAAGGAATTGAACATGGAAATTTACCATGTGTCTGTTCCTATAGGACATGGCATTTACCGGGCTTTTAATGATATAAAAGTTGCTATAGGACATGGCTTTTACCAGGCTTTTAATAATACAAAAGTTAACATAGGACATGGCTTTTACCAGGCTTTTAATAACACAAAAGTTGCTATAGGACATGGCTTTTACCGGGCTTTTAATAATAAAAAGGTTGCTATAGGACAAGGCTTTTACCAGGCTTTTAATAATACAAAAGTTGCTATAGGACAAGGCTTTTACCAGGCTTTTAATAATACAAAAGTTGCTATAGGACATGGCTTTTACCAGGCTTTTAATAATACAAAAGTTGCTGTAGGACATGGCTTTTACCAAAGCTTTATAATACAAAAGTTGCTATAGGGACATGGCTTTTTACCGGGCTTTTAATAATACAAAAGTTGCTATAGGACATGGCTTTTACCGGGCTTTTAATAATACAAAAGTTGCTATAGGACATGGCTTTTACCGGGCTTTTAATAATACAAAAGTTGCTATAGGACATAGCTTTTACCGGGCTTTTAATAATACAAAAGTTGCTATAGGACATGGCTTTTACCGGGCTTTTAATAATACAAAAGTTGCTATAGGACATGGCATTTACCGGGCTTTTAATAATACAAAAGTTGCTATAGGACATGCTTTTACCAAAGCTTTTAATAATACAAAAGTTGCTATAGGACATGGCTTTTTACCGGCTTTTAATATAATACAAAAGTTGCTATAGGACATGGCTTTTTTACCAAGCTTTTTAATAATACAAAAGTTGCTATAGGACATGGCTTTTACAAGGCTTTTAATAACAGAAAAGTTTGCTATAGGACATGGCTTTTTACCAGGCTTTTATAAATACAAAAGTTGCTGTAGGACATGGCTTTTACCGGGCTTTTAAATAATACAAAAGTTGCTATAGGACATGGCATTTTACCGGGCTTTTAATAATACAAAAGTTGCTATAGGACATGGCTTTTACCAAGCTTTTTAATAATACAAAAGTTGCTATAGGACATGGCTTTTACAAGGCTTTTAATAACAGAAAGTTGCTATAGGACATGGCTTTTACCAGGCTTTTAAATAATACAAAAGTTTGCTGTAGGACATGGCTTTTACCAGGCTTTTAATAACAGAAAAAGTTGCTATAGGACATGGCTTTTACCAGGCTTTTAATAATACAAAGTTGCTGTAGGACATGGCTTTTTACCAGGCTTTTAATAATACAAAAGTTGCTATAGGACATGGCTTTTACCAGGCTTTTTAATAATACAAAAGTTGCTTATAGGACATGGCTTTTACAGGCTTTTAATAATACAAAAAGTTGCTGTAGGACATGGCTTTTACCAGGCTTTTAATAATACAAAAGTTGCTATAGGACATGGCTTTTACCAAGCTTTTAATAATACAAAAAGTTGCTATAGGACATGGCTTTTACAAGGCTTTTAATAACAGAAAAGTTGCTATAGGACATGGCTTTTACCAAGCTTTTAATAATAAAAAGGTTTGCTATAGGACAAGGCTTTTACCAGGCTTTTAATAACAGAAAAGTTGCTATATTAGGAAACACAGCTTTTACCAAGCTTTAAATAATAAAAGGTTGCTATAGGACATGGCTTTTACCAAGCTTTTAATAATACAAAAGTTGCTATAGGACATGGCTTTTACCAGGCTTTTAATAATACAAAAGTTGCTGTAGGACATGGCTTTTACCAGGCTTTTAATAATACAAAAGTTGCTATAGGACATGGCTTTTACCAAGCTTTTAATAATAAAAAGGTTGCTATAGGACATGGCTTTTACCAGGCTTTTAATGATACAAAAATTGTTACAGGACACAGCTTTTACCAGGCTTTTAAAATACAAAAGTTGCTACAGAACACAGCTTTTATCGGGCTTTTAATAATACAAAAGTTGCTATAGGACATGGCTTTTACCAAGCTTTTAATAATAAAAAGGTTGCTATAGGACATGGCTTTTACCAGGCTTTTAATGATACAAAAATTGTTACAGGACACAGCTTTTACCAGGCTTTTAAAATACAAAAGTTGCTACAGAACACAGTTTTTATCGGGCTTTTAATAATACAAAAGTTGCTATAGGACATGGCTTTTACCAAGCTTTTAATAATACAAAAGTTGCTATAGGACATGGCTTTTACCAGGCTTTTAATAATAGAAAATTGCTACAGAACACAACTTTTACCAGGCTTTTAATAATACAAAAGTTGCTATAGGACATGGCTTTTACCAGGCTTTTAATAATTACTGCAAGACAGCTTTTACTAGGCTTTTAATAATACAAGGTTAATGTCTCTGCTTTTCCATTGATGTGGGGCATAGATTGCAATTGTTTAAAACATGTAGTCCGCAAAAGTATTTGTTTAATGATTTTCAATGTCATATTAACTTTACCCAGTGAATTTGTGAACTTACCTTGCTTTGAATTAGGAACTGTCCCTTGTTAGTTATATGGCATTTTAATATTAAAAGAATTAGATTACTAAGCCAGCAGTGTGAAGGCCTGATCTGCCTACCTGAATGCACTGTACGCCCTAGATCTACAGTGCTGACATAGACATGTTGTTATAGCTGCTGTATGGAATAATTCTATGTTTTATATTTCAGACAAGAGGAACAACTGTGAAGTTGGATTTAAAAGATATGTGCAACACTGATAGTTACAGGGTTATGGCCATAAATCAGATTGGTTCTATGGGCTTTAGTACTCCTGTCCAAATACCAGGTAATACAGATATTTCAGAACTTGTAAAATGTTGGTTTTTCCATCTAATCCCTAGGGTACAAACAAATATTTACAGTTACAATAATGTAAATGTGTGGATGATAAGCTTAATGTGTTAATCATTCTTGTGAATGGTAGTGCACCTTGAAGCTCTAATGGTAAGAGTTTGTTTGTACTGCCGGAAACATTTGCTGATTTCTGGATAACATCTTTTATTAAATCTTTGATTGTATCTTTATTGCGTAAGTTCTTTCAAATCATTTTGTTACCTTACGATGAGGAAGATGTGGCCAAGCCATGTCTCCCTCCCAACAAGGAATCTTAAATAAGTTTTTTCACACCATGTGTAGTTAACCTGCTTGTAACAGTTTGAAAGAAGTTTCACCCTTCTGATGCAGAAAAGGAAATGACGGAAGATGTTTTTATGGCTAATTATGTTGTTGAGTTTGCTTTAAAAGAAAAAAAGAGGTTCATTGGAACAGGATGTTACTATACTGTAGAAAATCTTGGTTTGCATTGAGTTTGAGCCTTATTACTGGTCAAAAATTCATACCCTAGTTTGAAAAAGGTTGTATAACTTAAGGGTAAATTGAAATCTTTTTGGGATGTAATCTTGAATATTGCTAGTCATTATGGTAATTCAATGTTTTCATTTTATTGTACATCCTAAGTTTTGTTAACTCATACACCTAACAAATTATCCCGGCCACAAATATAATTCCTACATACATTTTACTTTATAATTACAGCAATGCCTGCACCTGGACTAGTTAGCAATATTAGCTTTGTTGGTAATGGTGTGTATTACTATGTTAATAAAGATAACAAGGACCAGTCTATGTTTATGGCAATTCTGCAATGGGATCCTCCAGTAGGTCAGTATGCTAAGTCATGGTATAGAAGATACAGAACAACTTACTTCATAGTTACAACCAGAACAATGTATCGTCTTGCATTATTCTATATCTATAATAACAGACTCAGTAGTAAAATATATATCTATAGATATCTTAGATTAATTAGTATATTGAACACATTTTTACTACAAGTCCTCAGAATTGCCAAGATTTGCTGGGAAGGTAAGTCTTGACTGGAAGGTAACATGTATTGGTGTTTAAGGTCATTTAGTTTAACAGGTCAAGGTCACTGTAATTTTAACATTCAAAGTCAAAACCGTCCAATATCCTTGTAGGGTTTCTTGTATTTATCTGAATAAATCTGCTCATGCGATCATTTCAAACCACAAACAGCCTGCATTGATACTTATAGAATACACTGCTATTCAGTCAGTACATATTTTTGTTCTTTCCTAAAAATGATGAATGTTTATATCCAGATTGAATTTATAGTGATATTAAGTGTTGTATAAAGGATGAAAATGTTTTTGGCCTAGCTTTAATGTACAAGTATCTAGAAGAAGGCCATTATTCATTTAGTGGTCAGTTGATTATAGGTCAAGGTCATTGTGACATCCAGAAAAGCTTGTCAGACCAATAACTAGTGTTGTTTTAAGCAAGTTTATGTGGACAGTTTACTTTGGAGTGGTCAACTAGGCAAAAGTAAAGCTTGTCCCTAATAAAATGTTTGTGCCTACATACCGAAGATTTAATGGACATGATTGGTAGACCTTAGTTAACGTAACATGACTAATTTGTTGCCATTAGGGGGAATATATATATCACAAATATCTCTTGTCAATTACAATTGTACCAGTATATCTTTAGACATTAAAAAATGAGTGTAGTTTCAATACTGAATTGAACAAGTTTTTTTTAAATTATATTATGTGAGGCTCTGGCTAGCATAATATTATTTTATTCAACAAGTTCAATAAATTCAGTATTGAATCATTACGAATATTATATTCTATTTACCACATAACCAACATAAGAACTGTTTATGGTGAAAATAATCCTTTGTTGTTATTGACGCACCTATACTGTAACGCTAAACATTTAGCGTGTCTTTACACTATGTTTGTATAACACAAATGACGTCACGTCAAAACATATTCACGGTCATTAAATATATTTTTTTTATGGAGTGGCAAAAGAGGCACGGGTATGTGATAAAGTATTTCATCATGATCTGTCTATTATAGGTTGGCAAGATTCAGAAATATTGCGTTATCGTTGGAACCCGATGGTCAAACGTTACTGCGATGATATGAGTCAAGACAGTCTACCACTGTTCACAATTATGGTATATACCTTATGGAGTACTTTTATTGATCAATGACCAGTGTAAAAATGATACTTGTAGCTTCATAAATAATTTGAGAACTTGTCTTACCAGTACTTAGTTTAAACTGAATTATTTTTATACCCCCAAAAACGAAGTTTGGGGGGGTATATAGGAGTCACCCGGTGGTCGGTTGGTCGGTCGGTCGGTCGGTCGGTCGGGCGGTCGGTCGGTCGGTCCAGACGTCCGTTGCATTTTCCTTGTCCGGACCATAACTTGAAGACTAATGGTTGGAATTCAATATAACTACATACAATGGTCAAGCACATTGAGAGGAAGTGCAGTGCACAAGAACCATAACTCTATCTTGACTAATTACAGAGTTATTGCCCTTTGTTACTTTTCCTTGTCCGGGGCATAACTTTTGAAAACTACTGGTTGGAATTCAAAACAACTTCATACAATTGTCAAACACAATAAGGGGAAGTGCAGTGCACAAGAACCATAACTCTATCTAAAGTAATTACAGAGTTATTGCCCTTTGTTATTTTTCCATTGCTTTCTTTTTGTCCGGACCATAACTTGAAGACTAATGGTTGGAATTCAATATAACTACATACAATGGTCAAGCACATTGAGAGGAAGTGCAGTGCACAAGAAACCATAACTCTATCTTGACTAATTACAGAGTTATTGCCCTTTGTTACTTTTCCTTGTCCGGGGCATAACTTGAACACTACTGGTTGGAATTCAAAAACAAATTCATACAATTGTCAAACACAATAAGGGGAAGTGCAGTGCACAAGAACCAATAACTCTATCTAAAGTAATTACAGAGTTATTGCCCTTTGTTACTTTTCCATTGCTTTCTTTTGTCCGGACCATAACTTGAAGACTAATGGTTGGAATTCAATATAACTACATACAATGGTCAAGCACATTGAGAGGAAGTGCAGTGCACAAGAACCATAACTCTGTCTTGACTAATTACAGAGTTATTGCCCTTTGTTACTTTTCCTTGTCCGGGGCATAACTTGAAAATGACTGGTTGGAATTTAAAACAACTTCATACAATTGTCAAACACAGTAAGGGGAAGTGCAGTGCATAAGAACCATAACTCTATCTAAAGTAATTACAGAGTTATTGCCCTTTTGTTACTTTTCCATTGCTTTCTTTTGTCCGGAGTATAACTTGAAGACTAATTGTTGGAATTCATTATAACTTCATACAATGGTCAAGCACATTGAGAGGAAGTGCAGTGCACAAGAACCATAACTCCATCTTGACTAATTACAGAGTTACTGCCCTTTGTTACTTTTTCATTGCTTTTTTTTGTCCGGAGCATAACTTGAAGACTAATGGTTGGAATTCAATATAACTTCATACAATGGTCAAGCACATTGAGAGGAAGTGCAGTGCACAAGAACCATAACTCTATCTTGACAAATTACAGAGTTATTGCCCTTTGTTACTTTTCCTTGTCCAGAGCATAACTTTGAAAAACTACTGTTTGGGAATTCAATACAACTTTATATACAGTTGTCAAGGACATTAAAAGGAAGTGTAGTGCATAAGAGCCATAACTCCATTTTGACAAAAATACAGAGTTACTGCCCTTTGATACTTTTCCTTGTCTGGAGCATAACTTAAAACGTACTGGTTGAAATTCAAAACAACTTCATACAATGGTCAAGCACAAAAAGAGGGAGGAAGTGCAGTGCACAAGAACTATAACTCCAACTCCAGTATTATAGAGTTATTGCCCTTTGTTCCTTTTCTTTGTATTTCTGGACTTATTACAGATTAATTCAATAAAACTTCTTCAATGGTCAACCACATTGAAAGGAAATGCAAATATACAAGAACCACAACTATCTTTAATTGCCCACAACCATAACTCTATATTTCAATTCTTTTACAAGGTATTCTGTTACTAGTAACATCCTCATTTCCGAAGCAGTCTTGTGGGGGTATTAATCACATTTAGTGATAGTTCTAGTTTTGGATTGTATAGAGAGCTGTAAGCTTATTGACTCACTTTTGAATGATTTCTAGAACCAACCAGTATTGAGCAATGAGTGTAAAGTTTCTTGCTCAAGGAAACAACAGCTTGCTCCTGACGGGGATTGAACCCATATGACTGTTGATCGTTAGATAACTAGTCTGATATATAAACCACTACGCCATACCACCACTAAGTACTCAAGGGTATCAAGTCAATATTGTTTCAGTGACTATGAGTATAAAGAAACAACATTTATTAAAAATTACTCTTCCTTGCTAAACCATGTCTCACTTTAAAGATAGACTTAGCTTACAGTTTATATATTTTTTATTGACAGAAAAACCGGTCAAGACATATTTTGATTAAAATGGCAAGCAACTCCATAAATTGTGTTTTTACTACACAGGTAAGCAATACATACATTACGGTATTTTCATTAATTTTTATTCAAGGATAAGTAAATGCATATCTTGATATACCCAAAAATGATAATGGACAGTTCCAAAAATGGAAGCTGGACAAGTCCATTTAAGAAATTTCAGCAGGTTAAGGATTAAAAAGATAAGGTTGACGGGTTGATATTTCAAGATTAACCTTGCTGTATTTGTATAATGGATATCCCTACTAAGATTGGAACTTTCTATTGGTTTTAAGGGGTTACAGTATCAAACTAGGAATGTGTAAATACTGTGTATCAGGTCATTTTTGCCTAAAACAAAATTTGCAATTTTGGCAGTGATCTAAACTTTGCAAATCTTAATTTTAGCGATTTTGTTATGCTCCCCGAAAAATTTCGGAGGAGCATATAGTCACCGCCTTGTCCATCCGTCTGTCCGTGCGTCCGCTTTTCTTGTCCGGGACGTAACTTTGAAACAACAAGAGGTATCAACATGAAACTTTGTAGGTAGATAGATCTCACTGAGTAGGTGTGCAGTGCACAAGAACTGTAACTCTGTCTGTCTAATTTTTTAATATTTCCCCTTTGTTTATTTTCACACTTTGAACTTTGTCCAGGACATAACTCTAAAACTATATTAGGTATCAACATGAAACTTTGTAGGTAGATAGATCTCATTAAGTAGGTTTGCAGTGCACAAGAACCGTTACTCTGTCTTGCCTAATTTTGGAGTTATTGCCCTTTGTTCATTTTGACACTTTGAACTTTGTCCGGGACATTACTCTAAAATAATAAGAGATATCAACATGAAACTTTGTAGATAGATATGTCTCATTGGGTAGAAGTGCAGTGCTAAAGAATCATAACTCTGTCTTGCCTTATTTTGAAGTTATTGCTCTTTGTTTATTTTTACTTTTTGACTTTTGTCTATATAACTCTAAAACTATTAGAGTTATCAACATGAAACGTTGTAGGTAGATAGATATCATTGGATAGAACTGCAATGCTTAAAGAACCTAAACAAAGCCTTGTCTAATTTTAGAGTTATTGCCCTTTGTTCATTTTACACTTTGAATTTTACCCGGGACATAACTCTGAAACTATAAGAGATATCATCAGGAAACTTCATAGATAGAAAGATGTCATTGAATAGAAGTGCAGTGCAAAAAAACATAACTCCGCCTTGCCTAATTTTGGAGTTTTTGCCCTTTGTTTATTTTTACTTTCTACTTTTGTTAGGGACATAACTCTAAAACTATTAGAGATATCAACATGAAACTTTGTAGGTAGATAGATATCATTGGATAGAACTGCAATGCTTAAAGAACCTAAAAAAAGCCTTATCTAATTTTGGAGTTATTGCCCTTTGTTCATGTTTTTCAAAGTTAAAATTTTTTCTTTATTTTGGATAAAAATTTAAAGCTTCAGTTATGTTTAAATGGTCAGATACCATTTATGCCAAAAGTGTTGGGAAAAAAAAAACCTATTGTTTTCTCTATTTTGTATACAGGTGCAAGCTGTATCAAAATGTAACAAAAATGGGCCATGGACAGACTTTGTAGTTGATCTTAGAAGTAAGTTTATAATGATGACCTCCATGAGAGCATTTATTGGTGCATTGTTGATTAATGAGTTCTGAAGGAAGGGTTAAGTAAACAGTTATTTCATGGGTCTTTGTGGAACAGTCAAAACTGTTGCACGAGGTATCAGAGATGATATTTGGACTGTTGCCAGCGGCCTAGTTCCAAACATCATTTCTTATACTGAGGGACAACAGGTTCCTGTTCCACAAACACCCATGAAATAACTGTTTTATTACCTAATACACAATGTCATACACTATAATATAAATTGCAGCAACATACTAATAATATTTTTTTACAAGTGTTTAAAGCAGCACCCAGATTCATGCTAATTTTCTTGAAAATTTTGAAAAATTATTTGAATGTGTAATATTGTGAAGTAACCAAAAGGAAGCAATTTACACATTTTCAATGGCACTTACAAACCATGCAAATAACCAAAAAGTGGTTGAAGTATGCATAAATAGCCCTTACTGCGTTAGTAACGCAGTAGAAATGTAATTGCAAATACTGAAAAATCAGTCATAATCTCACAAAATATGTAAAATATTACTTGAATCTTGAAATGTTTTACTTTTCCTGACATCTTAGTACATTTTCTCAAGTTTGGTTTTATTGAAATATTTTGACTCATCTGGAGGCATGTAGTGACAAGTAAATCCTACGTTTGATTTTCAAAAAAAAAAAAAACACTACCATACATTGAATGGAAATACCTGATGACATAGGTGACAAAAACAGTAAAAAAAGATGACCAGTCAACATGCACAGGATTTCAGAGGTTCAATTAAACAGTTGTAAATAAGGAATAAGTATGTATAGAAGGCATTAGGTAATAAAATAGATTATTGATATTCAGAAGCAATGATCATTTTAAGTTAAAAATATACACTGCTATATAATACAAAACTTAACTAGTATCTGGGAGAAATTTCCTGGTGCCAAAATAAAATATTTAAGAGTATATAATTTTGTCAAATCATAAATTGAAAGTAAAAAAGGCCTTTTTGGAGGGTTCTTTCAAATGTTTAAAAAAAAAATTTTCTTACTTAACTTTTTTACCAGGTTTTCAATTAGTTTGTATGGATTAAACATGCGTAAGTCTTCCTGTGTGAAACACATACATATTGGCATAAAGTTTTCACAAGCATTATGCAGCTCGGATCAAAAATTAGACATCAAATATGACTTTATACATGTACAAGCTTACTGTTGCATAAATATGACTATATACATGTACAAACTTACTCTTGCATAAATATGACTATATACATGTACAAGCTTACTGTTGCATAAATATGACTATATACATGTTACAAGCTTACCTCATGCATAAATTGACTATATTACATTGTACAAGCTTACTCATTTGCATAAAATGTGACTATATACATGTACAAATCTTACATCTTGCAAAATATGGACTAATATACATGGTACAAACTTATGTTGCAATAAATAATGTAACTATATACATGTACAAAACTTACTCTTGCATAAATATGACTATATACAGTGTACAAACTTACTCTTGCATAAATTTACCTATACATGTACAGACTTACTCTTGCATAAATTATGACTAATAATACATGTACATCTTACTCATGGCATAAATATGACTATATACATGTACAAGCTTACTCTTGCATAAATATGACTATATACATGTACAAACTTACTCTTGCATAAATATGACTATATACATGTACAAACTTACTCTTGCATAAATATGACTATATACATGTACAAACTTACTCTTGCATAAATATGACTATATACATGTACAAACTTACTCTTGCATAAATATGACTATATACATGTACAAACTTACTCTTGCATAAATATGACTTTATACATGTACAAGCTTACTTCATAGCCATAAATATGGACATATATTCTACATGTACAAATACTTACTGTGGCCATAAATATGACTTCATGATGTACAAGCCTTACTCTTGCATAAATTATGACTATATACATGTACAGCTTACTCAATGCATAAATATGACTTGTTATCACAATGTACAAGCTTACTCTTGCATAAATGTGACATATATACATGTACAAACTTACTCTTGCATAAATATGACTATATACATGTACATGCTTACTGTTGCATAAATATGACTTTATGCATGTACAAGCTTACTCTTGCATAAATATGACTATATACATGTACAAGCTTACTCATGCATAAATATGACTATATACATGTACAAGCTTACTCTTGCATAAATGTGACTATATACATGTACATAATGAACCGCTTTTACTTTAGCATAAATATGACTATATACATGTACAAACTTACTGTTGCATAAAATATGTACTTTATGCATGTACAAGCTTACTCTTGCATACAATAATGACTATATACATGTGATGTACAAGCTTACTCATGCATAAATACTGAGTGGTATATACATGTACAAGCTTACTCCATGCATAAATATCGAATATAATACATGTACAAAACTTACTCTTGCCATAAATATGACTATATACATGTACAAAACCTTACTCATGCATAAATATGACTAGTATACATGTACAAACTTACTGTTATGTCACAATATATGACGTTTATATGCATGTACCCAAGCTTACTCTTGCATAAATATGACTATCATACATGTGATTGTACAAACTATGACTCATGCATAAATATGGACTATATACATGTACAAGCTTACTCATGCTTACCAAATATGACTATTATACATGTACAAGCTTACTCATGCATAAATATGAGCTATGTATACATGTACAAAACTTACTCTTGCATAAATATGACTAATATATACATGTACAAACTTACTTTGCAATAATATGAACTATATACATGATACACAACTTACTCATGCATAAATGTGACTATATACATGTACAAGCTTACTCTTGCATAAATATGACTATATACATGTACAAACTTACTCATGCATAAATATGACTATATACATGTACAAACTTACTGTTGCACAAATATGACTTTATGCATGTACAAGCTTACTCTTGCATAAATATGACTATATACATGTACAAACTTACTCTTGCATAAATATGACTATATACATGTACATGCTTACTGTTGCATAAATATGACTATATACATGTACAAGCTTACTCTTGCATAAATGTGACTATATACATGTACAAACTTACTCTTGCATAAATATGACTATATACATGTACAAGCTTACTCATGCATAAATATGACTATATACATGTACAAGCTTACTCATGCATTGAAGAATAGTGACCTTTTCTAGCATGACCTTTCTCAAGGTCCTCTTCTTTAATTAATTAGACTGTCTAGATTGTTTATATATACAAATGTTAAAGATGATTAATTATTACAGACTGCAGTGCTATCACAGGATATAAATGTCATCAGGATGGGCAGGATGGTTGTAAGTATTGTTTTAACATTATTCTCTAATATTAAAATTTGCAAAACACACTAAAAGAACTCAACCGAGGTCAAAAAAGCCTAAAAACATAATCTTTTATATTAGCTACAGAACAGAAATGTACAGATATGAATTTTTTCCTGTTTTTATGGATTTGTTCTGTTATTGTGATGGATTTTTACCATTATTATAACAGATTTGTCTTGATATGAATTTGTCCTGTTATAATAATGTACTTTGACCTGTTTTTATTCCCCAAGATGGATATTGTTTTGGCATCAATGTCGTTTCCCTGCTAGTTCTCTGCAACTACTGGCTGCAATTCAACAAAATTTTATGGGCACCATCAATACCAAGAGGATATGCATATTTCGTTGCCTTGTTTCAGTCCGACCTCTTAACACAGAGTTATGGCCCTTGATTATGTATAAAGAGCAATAATCGTTTACGCGCTACTTCTCTGCAACAACTGGCAGGAATTCAAAGAAACTTCATGGGAACCATCAATACCAAGAGGAGATGCATATATCCTTGCCTTTTCAGGTCAGACCCTTCAACACTGAGTTATGGTCCGTGATTTGTTATACATTATGCATATAGAGCAAAAATTGTTTTCGTGCTTTTTCTCTGCAACTACTCGCAGGACTTCAACAAAACTTTATTTGAACCTTCAATACCAAGACAAGATGCTTTTTCTGGTCAGACGCTTCTACACAGTATTTTGACTACTGGTTTTGCTCTTGATTAGTTATGCAGTATAAATATAGAGCAATAATCATTTCCCCGCTATTTCTTTGCAACTACTTGCTGGAATTTAACAGAACTCACAGTTAGAAACCATCAGTTCTAAGAGGAAATGCACATATCATCGCTTCAGACCCTTTAATGCAGAGTTTTATATCATCCTAGATAAGTTACATGAATGTTGTATGCATATAGAGCAATATTACTACATGTATTTCTTTGCAACTGCTGGATTGACTTCAACAAAACTTTATGGGAACCGTCAATGCACAAAGGCAATTTGCATCTCATTAGCATGTCGAGATAATACTCTTTAACACAGAGTTATGGCCTCTGTTATTAACTTGTTGCCCTGAATTTTTATTGTTTATTTATGTTATGATAAATATGTAGATGAAGCCTTGTATCTCCAGTTGTTGTGTTAGTAATAACCAGTACTCGGAAGGGATATAAATTCAACGAATTTGCTTGTTACCATGGACTTGTCCTGTTCTTCTGTTATTATTATGGATTTGTCCTGTTATTATTATGGATTTGTCCTGTTATAACAGTTATTATAATGGATTTTCCCATATGTCTTGAATTACATGTACATGTAGATATAATTATTTCTAGAAAAACATCTATTTATCATTGTATTTGTTTAAAATGCTTTCTAAGTAATAGAAAGAGCATCGAAACACGAGGCTACCTGATTTGTACGAGGGGTCGTAGCCGAGTATTAATCAGATTGCTGAGTGTTTTGATGTTCTTTCTTTTTTATATCATAGTCAAACATAAAAACATGTTCCCTGTTGTCACAAAAAAGTAACCAATGGACGAGCATCTGAATATCTGTCGCTTTCACTCTCTCTGCTGCCCCAATATGTAAACCCCAGCAAAAATGAACCAATCAATGAGCATGCTCTGGAGTGCTGGTAACTAATACCTGCACTCCTTATAATGCACTGTGCATGTATATGTATACGATTTAACTCTGACACATTTTCAACAGAAAGGTCTCCAAACTATGATACAAGATGCAGATAAAAAAAACCTTATATCTATATTTTCACATGCAAGTTTGAGTTGTATAGAAATGCAAGTTTGAGTTGTATAGAAATATAATCTATTTGCTTACAGCTGACCCCCCTGGACCTGTACAAAATGTCACGTTAAATGTCACGTCTTCACCTGTTCTTGTGCTGATGCAGATGAACCCTAACCCATTCATTATCAACCAGTATACAAACAGTCCATTATTGATAAATCTACATGTAAAATGGAAGCCACCGTTTGATATGGGAACTTCAGGAATTATTGATCACTACACAATCAGGTCGGGTGTTGCAAAGACTAATCAATACCTGGTACCACCATCTTTCATTGGTACTCCACATGAAATAAAGGTTTCCAAGGTAATATTTCAGTTGCCAATGTTTAAACAGAATGAGAGATAATATTCTGTATCTTTTTTCATCTTTGAGGGAAAAAAATCATACCGGCAATAATCCCTATCATTAACTTAGGACCATTATTTGAACTGAAAAATGGGAAAACTTGCATAAAAAGTGTTTGAATTTTGACATTGAATGTCTTCATGGACCCTGTAGTGCCACAACTAGAAAAATCTGGAGATAAGTATCTCATGTGACCAAAAGTGACATTTGTTTCAGTGAAATATGCTCTTGTTATTTTTAAAAAGAAATTCTTTTATGTATATATGTATATGGTACTTTTTATATCCATTTGTCTGTCTGTCTGTCTGTCTACACCCCAACTTAGACAACATTCCTGTCTGGACTGTAACATTGTCATGCATTGAAGGATTTAAAATAATCTATGTCTACAAAATCAAGAGGATGTGTTGTGTCACATACCCATGTCCCTACCTCCAAGGTCATGGTCACATTTTTAGTTTAAATGTACTCATTTTCACAAGAAGAGTTTGAAGGTGCATATTTAGTGTCAGATCTGTAAATTTGTCATGCATTTAAAGATTTTTGAATAAGGAGGCACAAATGTCTACCACATCATTATGTTGTATCACATATAAGACCAATGTCCCTACCTCAAAGGTCAAAGTTACTTTTGCAGTTTGAAGGATCACATTCTCACAATTACAGTTTAAGTTATTTTTGTATGTTAAACATAATAAATAAATATTAAAAAAAAACCTTAAGTAATATAGAATATTAAGATTAAAATTAAAAGTTAAAAAATTCTTCTTTGCTCTATGACAGCAGAATTTTACTTGTTTTGTCAATGGTTTCTGTACTGATCAGGGGAAGTAACCAGTGTGGTGAGTTAAATATTTTACAACATTATTTGTTTCAGGATATCCATGATTTGTCATTTCCAATTCCAACACAAAATATTCCCTACACATTTGGAATACAGGTAAATCTCATGCTTGTCTCTTAAGGTAGACCATGGGTGATGCATCACCTCCACTTTGAAGAGTATTCAAATAGGCTTAAATCACTTGTCACCTGAATGTTACTATTTGTTTCATAACAATGAGCAATAGGAAAACATTTTTCATAATGATGATATATAGATTATTTAGAGTTTCCTCATTTCTGAAAAAAAAGTCATTCTAAAAGCAAAGTTTTTATTCAGAAATATATCCATAACTCATAAACCACACAGTAAATTCTAAGTTTTGCATACAGGCGACCTTTATAACTGTCCTATATGCAAGGCCGTCGTTGATGGTCCGGCCCAATATTTTGTTAAAAAAATGAGTAAAAAAAAAAAAAACATGCATCGCTGATAAGCAATTTGACACTTGACTGGCCCCTTATGCAATGTGCAGTTATATACAAACTTGACGTGAAGAAACAACTGGACACTGTTAATTGACCAGGTATATGTAGGAGTCCTACGAAGTCAAGTGTTAAGTTATCTTAATTGGCATTAATTGACATCGACGTGGCTTAGGACAGACTGGACAGTATATATACACATACATTGTATATTATATGTTTATTTAAAATATAACATCACCATTCTCAAAAAATTACTTCAGTTCACATACAAGTATCTTATTATGAATAGCTAAAAAAATTAAGATAGCAAACTATCATTATGTGTGACACAATTCCATCGGAACCAAATCAACCAAAGTCATTTTCGTTTCGAAAACGAACATTTGGTGAGTACATTTTTTCATCAATGCTACTGTATATATATTATGATATAACAAAAAAAAAAAAAAAAAAAAAAACAGTGCATGAGATTTGCAATAAGCATTATGACCATCTTAAACTAGTATGCCTGAATTCTCCAAGAACTTGATAAAATTTTATTGATTGTATACTGGCATGCAATCGATCTTGCCATGGCCAGTGTTAAAGAGAGATTTGACCAACCGGGATATCCCGGAGGATTTTAAAACGTACTAAGGTCGCACAACCTTTGAAGACCGAGTACACTAGAGAACTTTGTTTTGTTTGAAATTCCTATGGTAACGACATTAACCGAGACATCTTAGAGGTGCAGCTAAGGCCTTACCTTCTACGTTCACATTTTGACACATCAGAAAATAGTACTGTTACTCTACCTGACGTTTTGAAATTTGTGTCAGAACAGTCAGTGCTAAAACGAGCACTGTTCTCTGAGGTTGTTGTGTTGTTTAATATTTTGTTAGAAATGCCTGCTACTAATGCTACAAGTGAAAGGACATTCTTGGCGCTCAGAAGAAGTAAGACATACCTGAGATCGACAATGTCTCAAGTACGTTTGAACAATCTAATGGTTTAAAATATTCATAAGTACAGGACAGATTCACTTAACTAACGTGTTATTGCTGATGAGTTCATTACCACCAGAGAACGATGGCAATGTGTTTTGGGAAAATTTACATAAAATGAATCTCTGTGTTGTGTAAGATTATTGTGAACAAAATACAAGTTACTGCTAAACAGAAAGTGGTTATTCTTCCATCATGTCATCGATTGATATTTAAGCCTATACCATTGTGTGATTTATGTTAAACAATAATCCACTTAGCTGTAATATTTCTTGTATTTGTTTATTTATATTTATCAGATAAAAATGCATCTAAAGAATTATAACATCAGTTATTTTTCATTTGCCAAATTTCAATTACATGTACTGTATTCATTTTTATGTACACCTGTCCATCCGTTATGCTAACCTTAAATTTCACCCTTAAACTTACGGCGCACTTAAAAATGTAAAAAATCGTTGACATATATTTACTATAACATGTACTAGCGGCAGGCTGTAAACTGTGCCAAATATACGGGAAAACGCCCCTGAGAGCATCCTAAAATAAAAAAATTTCCGGGGGAGCATGCCCCCCCCCCCCCCCCCCCCCCCCTACATCCTAGATTTTGGCTGCTCAAACCAACAAGTTGGCCGCACCAATCACAAATCATGGCGACGGGCCTGATATGTTGTCAATTTTACAGTTCCTTATAGTGCCTATTACCCATGGTCTACTTTAACAAAATTTTTAATCTTTCTATGCGGATTTGATTAAAAATTTTAGAAGCTATTTGCAGTTGTATGATAGTTTTAAATTTTGCATACAGGTGACCTTTAAGACATATAACTGTCCTATGTTGTTAATTTTACAGTTCCTTATAGTACCCATTACCCATGGTCTACCTTAACAGAATTTTAAATCTTTCGATGCAGATTTGATTTAAAATTTTAGAAGATATTTGCAATTGTATGATAGTTATGTTGTTTCTGTGCTGTGAAATTATGAACATAAGTTAATCTCAAGAGTGTTTTGGATCGTTGCAGTATAATTATTCGGGAAGAAGAGAGGATAATTATGTTGTATCCTGTGGATCTATTTGTCTCTCTTAGTTGACCTTATTCTTTCTTTTCCGTATTTCAAAAAAGCTTCATCTTCTAAAAAAACATCTTTATCATTAGGTAGATTTTTATCAAACTCTTCAAGAAAGATCATTAAAAATGTTCCTGTCTATTGTACAAAATCATCACCAGAGCTTAGTTTTCAACGATATCTCCATAACCATGGGGAAAATTTTAGGCAAGTCATCAGAAATGATCATTAGGTAGTCCTTTACTACAATTGTTCCCATCTACTGAACAAGATGGTCACCAAAACTAAAAATAGTAGTCAAAGCTGTAATCAATATCTCCTAACCGCAACCATCGGGTACATTAGATTTTGATGAAACTTTATGGGAATGACATTCATGTGGTCCTTTACAACAAAAAAAAATGTCAAAATCTTTTCAGTCTGCTGTTAAGTAACCATTAGAGCTAAACATCTTCTCCTCCATAGTGTGTTAGATTTTTAGGACAGGCCTTTATAACAGCTTCTTGAAAGTTTAACATTACATTGGAACTTATGTGAGATCCATGTAAAGATGGTGATAAGCATTCATACTAAGATGTTGTATATTTTTATCAAGGTGCGAGCTGTAGGTCCATACCAGGAAGTACCAGAAAATGACTGGGGAGTACTTCGTATGCGTACAATTGATGTCCGCAGGAGTGATTCGGCGATAGGCCCCTTCATGAAGGAAGGTTTGTTTCACAAAACATTTTTTTTGTTTGTTTTTCGTCCCAATACTTATCCACTAAAAACAAAGCTTTCACTTACCCACTACAATCAAAGCTACCAACAATGTTATTGGCCAAAGAAACAAGTATTAATTTAGCTCAAGTACTTGTACATAATAAAAGGGTTTTCTGCTTGAATGATTTTTATGCTCCCCGAAAAATTTCGGGGCAGCATATAGTTGCCGCCTTGTCCTTCCGTCCGTCTTTCCGTCCGTCCGTCCCCTTTTATTGTCCGAAACATAACTTTGAAACAACAAGAGGTATCAGCATGAAACTTTGTAGGTAGATAGATCTCATTGAGTAGGTGTGCAGTGCGCAAGAACCGTAACTCTTCCTTGCCTAATTTTTGAATTATTCCCCTTTGTTTATTTTTACACTTTGAACTTTGTCCGAGACATAACTCTAAAAGTATAAGAGGTATCAACATGAAACTTTGTAGGTAGATAGATGTCATTGAGTAGGTGTGCAGTGCACAAGAATCGTAACTCTGCCTTGCCTAGTTTTTGAATTATCCCCCTTTGTTTATTTTACACTTTGAAATTTGTCCGGTACATAACTCTAAAACTATAACAGATATCAACATGAAACTTTGTAGGTAGATAGATCTCATTGAGTGGAAGTGGAGTGCTTAAGAATCATTACTCTGCCTTGCCTAATTTTTGAACTATCCCTCTTTGTTTATTTTACACTTTGAAATTTGTCCTGGACATAACTCTAAAACTATAAGAGATATCAACATGAAACTTTGCAGGTAGATAGATCTCATTGAGTAGGTGTGCAGTGCACAAGAACCATAACTCTGCCTTGCCTAATTTTTGAATTATCCCCCTTTGTTTATTTTACACTTTGAACTTTGTCCAGGACATAACTCTAAAACTATAATAGGTATCAACATGAAACTTTGTAGGTAGATAGATATCATTGAGTAGGTGTGCAGTGAACAAGAATCTTAACTCTGCCTTGCCTAATTTTGAATTATCCCCCTTTGTTTATTTTTTTACACTTTGAACTTTGTCTGGGACATAACTCTAAATGTATAAGAGATATCATCAAAAATTTCAGGGCAGCATATAGGACCGCCTTGTCCTTCTTTCCGTCCGTCCGTCCCCTTTTCTTGTCCAAGACATAACTTTGAAACAACAAGAGGTATCAACATGAAACTTTGTAGGTAGATAGATCTCATTGAGTAGGTGTGCAGTGCGCAAGAACCGCAGTGCAAAAAACATAACTCTGCTTTGCTTAATTTTGGAGTTTTTTGCCCTTTGTTCATTTTTTAATACTTTCCTGTGTCCAGAACCTTCTCAGGGAACAACTGGTTCTTGTTGACTGAGTTATGGCCCTTGAATAAAAAAGCATTTTGGCCCCTGAATGATTTTTTGGTTTCTCCTGCAACATGTCATTGGCTATTATGAGGTGACACATGTGATCACTTTTTGCTTTTGTTGTATATCAGGTAAAGTGTTGCTGGACGAGGCAGGCATAGTGATTTTGCATGTTAACAATTCACTACCTGTACAGTTCTTGCCAAGTCCTCCAATGGGAAACGACACAAATATAGATAGGTATGCTGTACAATGGGGACCTATGGATGGACCAGATTCCATGACAGTGGAAAATACTACCATTATACCTCTGGTTAGTAGAAAAACTTTAATTTTTTAACACAACATTTTCAAGAAAATAATTAAGCTTTTGCTATAGTCATTGTATAATGGATATTGCTGTCTTAAAACTTTACATTGATCTTAATTTTTATACTTACCAACAAGAAAACATAATATTATGGTTGCAGCCATGTCTGTCTGTCCATCAAATTCTTGTCTGGAGAATTAACTTTAAAAGTATTGAAGGAATTTGATGAAAACTTCACACAGTGATAGAAACTAAGACAGATGCAGTGTGAAATAATATCTCTCCTTGAAATTTCACACAGATATAGAGACTAGTAAGAAGTGCAGTGTAAAAGAACCATAAGTCTACAGTACTTATTTTTATGCCCCCGCCATGTAATGGCCGGGGCATATAGTGTTACCCTGTTCCGTCCTTCCCTCATTCCGTCATTCTGTCATTCCGTCATCATCAGTTTCCGTTCATTATCTTAGTAACCGTTGCACATATTCAACTCAAATTTGACATATGGATATGTCATGAGAAAATACAGGTCAAGTTCGAATTTGGTCATGGTTCGATGATTTTTGGCAGAGTTATGCCCCTTTTACTTTGAAAATAATATGAAATTTTCAGTTTCCGTTCATTATCTCCCCAACGGTACAACACATTCAACTCAAATTTGACATATGGATATGTCATGAGAAAATACAGGTCAAGTTTGAATTTGGTCATGGTTCAACGATTTTTGGCAGAGTTATGCCCCTTTTACTTTGAAAATAATATGAAATTTTCAGTTTCCGTTCATTATCTCCCAACCGTACAACACATTCAACTCAAATTTGACATATGGATATGTCATGAGAAAATACAGGTCAAGTTCGAATTTGGTCATGATTCGATGATTTTTGGCAGAGTTATGCCCCCTTTTACTTTGAAAATAATATGAAATTTTCAGTTTCCGTTCATTATCTCCCCAACGGTACAACACATTCAACTCAAATTTGACATATGGATATGTCATGAGAAAATACAGGTCAAGTTCGAATTTGGTCATGGTTCGATGGTTTTGGCAGAGTTATGCTCCTTTGACTTTGAAAATAATATGAAATTTTCAGTTTCTGTTTATTATCTCCCCAACAGTACAACACATTCAACTCAAATTTGACATATGGATATTTTTTTGGAATGCCAAGGTCAAGTTCGAATTTGGTGATGGTTCAATAATTTTTGGCAGAGTAATGCCCTTTTCACTTTGAAAAAAATATGAAATTTACAGTTTCTGTTCATTATCTACCCAACAGTGTTACATATTCACCTCAAATTTGACATATGGATATGTCAAATGAATGGGCAGGTCAAGTTGGAATTTGGTCATCATGGTTCGATGATTTTTTGGCAGAGTTATGTCCCTTTCACTTTGAAAATAATATAGATACATCTTAGGAATAGGCAGTTTAAGTTTGAATTTGGTCGTGATTCAATGATTTTGGACAAACTTATCATTCTTGAATATTGGAAAAAATTTTGAACATTCAGATTTAGCACTCATACTTTTGTGGAAATGTATGTAGCCATTATTTTGGCTACAAATATGAAATATGCTATTTTCAAAAGGTTAAGACTGAATAATTTCAGTGCTTTGAACATTGTATGAAAATGGTTTGTGTTAACATTGAAAAGTTTTAAGGGCTTTGAACTTAAAATGAAAACAATAATTTGTGCAAACAAATTTGGAACTAAATATAATAGCATCTGAAATTTTGGCTGCATGCGGGGGCATCCGTGGCATGATGACACATTTCTAGTTTTTTTAACATTTATCCTGTCATAATACTTAATAATGCTTGATTGGTGAATTATGGAAGAAATTTTACTTAAATTTCCTGCACTGAGACCCAAAATTCTACCCTGCTTACAATGTAAGTTACCTCCCTCCATGTTACTTAAAAATATTTTAAAATGCTTGTGCAGTTTGTAACTTTGAAACTTCACACTAGTGAGAAGAAGTGTAATGTTGAAGAACCATAATTTTATTTTGTTATCTCCCTTTATAATACTAAAATGTTTGTCATACTTTAAGGGATCATTTCTTTCAAGGTGGCGGTTTCTAAAAATGATTTTTACACTATTACCCATAATGTATTTATTTATTGACTGACATGGACATATGTGCAGATTTGGAGAGCAGATATTGCTGTTGAAAATATTTTTTATGCTACCACAGCATCTGTGATGCGGTGGCATATAGCGATTCAACTTAAAAAATCTTCTTGTGAAAAACCATTAGTCCAATTTCAACCAAACTTGGCAGGATTGTTCCTTGGGTGAAGGGCTTCCAAAGTTGTTCAAAGAATTTCATTCCATGCAGAAATCTGGTTGCCATGGCAACCAAAAGGAATTATAAGAATGAATTTTAAAAAATCTAAGACCCAAAAGACCTAGAGCTTAGATATTTTGCATAAGGCATTGTCTGGTAGACCTCTAAAAAGATTGTTCAAATTATAGCCCTGGGGTCAAAATCAGCCCCGCCCCGAGGGTCATTGATTTTCACTATGTACATATAGTAAAAACTTAAAATACCTTCTTGTAAAAACCCAAAAGGCCTAGAGCTTAGATATTTTGCATAAGGCATCATCTGGTAGACCCTTTCCAAGATTGTGCAAAATATAGCCATTGGGTCAAAATCAGCCCTGCCCCGGGGTCATTGATTTTCACTATATGTACATATAGTAAAAACTTAAAACACCTTCTTGTAAAGACCCAAAAGGCCTAGAGCTTAGATATTTTGCATAAGGCATTGTCTGGTAGACATCTACCCAGATTGTTCAAATTATAGCGCTGGGGTTAAAATCGGCCCCGCCCCAGGGGTCATTGGTTTTCCTTATATGTATATAGTAAAAACTTAAAACACCTTCTTGTAAAGACCCAAAAGGCCTAGAGCTTAGATATTTTGCATAAGGCATTGTCTGGTAGACATCTACCCAGATTGTTCAAATTATAGCGCTGGGGTTAAAATCAGCCCAGCCCCAGGGGTCATTGGTTTTCCTTATATGTATATTGTAAAAACTTAAAACACCTTCTTGTAAAGACCCAAAAGGCCTAGAGCTTAGATATTTTGCATAAGGCATTGTCTGGTAGACATCTACCCAGATTGTTCAAATTATAGCGCTGGGGTTAAAATCGGCCCAGCTCCAGGGGTCATTGGTTTTCCTTATATGTATATAGTAAAAACTTTAAAAAAAAATCTTCTAGCAATTGAAAAGTGCTAGAGGTTAGATATTTTGCATGAAACATTGTGTTGTAAACCTCTAGCAAGATTGTTCAAATTATAACCCTGGGGTCGAAATTGCCCCGGCCCTGGGGGTCATTGATTTCAATATATACATATAGTAAAATTTAAAAAAATGTTATTATCTGAAGGTACAAGGCTTAGAGCTTTAATATTTGTTAAATACTATCATCTAAAGGTACTCTACCAAAGTTGTTCAAATTTTGCCTCTTGTGTCAAAATTAGCCCCGCCTTTGGAAGCCATAGGTATATCTGATATGTATATAGTTAAAACTTAAAATATCATCTTCTCTAAATTTACAAAGGATAGAGTTAAGATATTTTGCATGAAACATTGTGTAGTGAACCTCTAGCAAGATTGTTCAAATTATAGCCCTGGGGTCAAAATTGGTTCCGCCCCGGGGGTCATTGATTTTCATTATGTACATATAGTGAAAAAAAAAATTTTTGTCTGAAGGTTCAAGGCATAGAGCTTTGATGTTTGATATGTCAAAAATTGGCCCTGCCCGGGGGCAATGATTCTCATTATGTACACATAGTAAAAACAAAAAATAAAACAAATATTTTCTGAATGGGAGAAAGCTATAGCTTAGATATTTGACTTGAAATGTTGTTTGGTGGACCTGTATCAAGATTGTTATTAAACCCTTGGGTCAAAATTATGCCTTGCCCAAGGGGACAGTGACCTACTTTCTTGTCCTTTGATGTACAGCAATGACATTTTGACCATGTGCACAGTTTTAGTTGTAAAATTGAATTTTGACTTAAATTTTGATGATGTGACCTACTTTTTTGTCCTTTGATGTACAGCTATGAAATTTGAGCCATGCGGTGGCATAGCATTTTTCTCAAATGCAATCTTGTTTGCTAATTTATTAATACTTGGTCACAACATTTAACCTTTTAAACAAGACCTTTAAGTAAACAAGACTGAACTTGACCTTTTTTGACCTTGTAAGCCCTTGAAGTAAACATGACAAAACCAACATTACAGATATATCCCTGACCTTAATATGACCTTCACCTTGAGGTGGTTCTTGTCAAGTTAAACTTTAATAAAGAAAGTTTCAGAAAAAAAGTATAAAAGCGAAATATGTAACAAAAATACATACCTAATTATACCCCCAAAACGAAGTTTTTGTGGGGGTATATAGGAGTCACTGGGTGGTCAGTGGGTCGGTCCAGCTGTCCGTTGCATTTTCCTTGTCCGGAGCATAACTTGAAGACTAATGGTTGGAATTCAATATAACTTCATACAATGGTCAAGCTCATTGAGAGTGGGTGCAGTGCACAAGAACCATAACTCTATCTTCACCAATAACAGAGTTATTGTCCTTTGTTACTTTTCCTTGTCCAGAGCATAACTTGAAAACTACTGGTTAGAATTCAAAACAACTTCATACAATGGTCAAGCACAATAAGGGGAAGTGCAGTGCACAAGAATCATAACTCTATCTAAAGTTATTACAGAGTTATTGCCCTTTGTTACTTTTCAATTGCTTTCTTTTATCCAGACCATAACTTGAAGACTAATGGTTGGAATTCAATATGACATCATACAATGGTCAAGCACACTAAGAGGAAGTGTAGTGCACAAGAACCATAACTCCATCTTGACTATTTACAAAGTTATTGCCCTTTGTAACTTTTTCTTGTACGGAGCATAATTGGATTTCAAAACAACTTAATAGAATGGTCAAGAACAATAAGAGGAAGTGCAGTGCATATGAATGATAACTCTATCTAAAGTAATTACAGAGTTATTGCCCTTTGTTACTTTTCCATTGCTTTTTTTTGTCCGGAGCATAACTTGAAAACTACTGGTTGGAATTCAAAACAACTTCATACAATGGTCAAGCACAATAAGAGGAAGTGCAGTGCACTAAAACAATAACACCATTTGACAAATAATAGAGTTATTGCCCTTTGATACCATTCCTTGTCAGGTGCATAACTTAAAAACTAATGTTTAGAATTCAATGAAACTTCATCCAATGGTCAAGAAGCATAACTCTTTTTGGACTTTTTACAAAGTAATTGAATAAATTTCATCAATGCTCAACCACATTGAAAGGAAATGCAACATACAAGAACCACAAATTTCTTTAATTGCCTACAACCATAACTCTATTTCAGTTCTTTTGCAAGGTATTCTGTTACTAGTAACTTCCTCATATCCGAAGCAGTCTTGCGGGGTATTAATCACATTTAGTGATAGTTCTAGTTTCATTTGCTATCAATTTTTTGCTTCCTGCATACTTGATGTTCATAACAATACTCTATAACTGGTCATCCACAATTGAATGATTGAAATCTTCATGAATTGATTTTGCAGAATCTACACATATTTGATGATGAGGTGAGACCTGTTCCGTCGCTGTCAGTCGGCTAGGGAAGGACATATTTCAGTGTGTTTAAAGCCTTTTAATGTTGAAATACCATACCATTTTGATTGAAATTTAGTGTATCTTTGAAATATGGTAATGGCTACTAATCAGAAATGGGAAAATAAAATTGTGTTTCATCTTGCTGTGTGTTATCTTTTTTATCATTCATAAAGGCAGACTGAAGGCTTAAAACACACTGAAATTTGTACTTACAAAGACATTCATTATCATTTATGTCTTTACAATGCATGAGTGTGTACTTAGCTTTCAGTCTGATTTTCAGTTCCATGTACATATACAATGTACCATCAAACCTTGTTATAACTCTTTGATAGAGTAAAAGAAAGGGGCCTTTGTTGCAAAGTGGTTAAAGTCGACAACTTCAAATAACTTGCTCCTCATCACTTTTGGTTTGAATCCCTTCACAGACTATCTAGCTACCTTATTGAAGCTGTTTGTTATACTCGGGTGCCTGTTCTAGCCTGAAATAATGCACGGAGGGGACTAAAGTATTCCTTCACCAGTTAAGCTGGAATGTTGCCATATGACCTTTATTGTGTCAATAACTTTTAATCCAAAACAAACAAACAGTTATAGAGGGTGCTGACTTATTATCACTTTACCCTGACCAATGTGGGTTTAAATTCTGACATGAATTTTTATGTGTGGAACTATCAAGCTTACTGGCAGAAGGTAGCTTTCTTCAGCTGTCAGTTCATGCCTATATTAATACTTGGTCTACCTATAACAGTAAATAATATTAATGGTTTTAAAGATTGTGGTCTATAGAAATGTGATATAGGAAAACAGGCAAAAAAACTTTGTATACATGGAGTTATTTTAATGAAATTTCATAGAAATGGTCACCACTTTAAGAAGCAGTGTCATGCTCATGAACCAGGTCTCTAGGTTGAAAGTCAAGGTCACACTTAGAGGTCATTGAAAAACACTTGTCTGGAGCAAAACTTTTACATGCATAGAGGGATTTCAATATAACTTGGCACAATTTTTCACCATTGAAAGATTGAGTGTTGCATGCAAAATTCAAGTGCCTGTGGTCAAGGTCAAACAGGGATCAAAGTTCAGATGAAAATATGAAAAATGTATTCAGACCATTTTCGTCATCATTTATTGAGGGATTGAAACACAAATGGTCATTATCATGACTGGGTGTGAAACATATTATTTAGGTTAATATATGCATGGCCAAGGTCACTAAAGATGATAAATATGCACATTTTGTCCAGAGTATATCCCCTACACATATGGAGGGATTCTAATGAAACTTCATAGAAATGTTCACCACTATGAGAAGCAGTGTCATGTGCATGAACTAGCTCTCTAGGGCAAAGGTCAAGGTCACATCTAGAGGTCATTGAAAAAGACTTGTCTTGGGGTAAACTTCTACATACATAGAGGGATTTCAATATAACTTGGCACAAATGTTGCATGCAAAAAATTCAAGTGCCTGTGGCCAAGGTCAAGGTCACAAAGGGATCAAAGTTCCGAAAAAAATTTGAAAATTTGTTTTCTGACCATTTAGTCATCATTGATTGAGAAATTGAAACACAAATGGTCATATTCATGACTACAATTTTGAAGTACATAATCCAGGTAGTCAAGGTCATGGAGAGATCAAAGTTTGTGTATGGGACCATTTAGTCATCATTTATTGATGTATTGTAACACAAATGATAACTGTTATGATTACAAGTGTGACACATGTAATTTAGGTTAATGTTTGCGAGGTAAGGTCACTATACAAGTAAAATTATTATAGATATTCATGGAAAGATGCGTAAAAATATATTTTTTTTAATATTGAATGCATAAATACTTGCATTTTATTCTACATTATGTATTGTTTCCTTTCGTGCAAAGCCTTGATAATGGCCGTGCTGTCACTACGGTTTTTATAGCTAAACTCTGGTATTTTGGAACGGTTAGCGAGTTGATCTGCACCAATTAGTCTGGCTTCGAAAATTAGGTGTGAAATTCTTTCATAATTGTATAATCGGGACCAAAAATTTACTTCGAACAATAGGAGGTATTCGGATAATACATTTCGAATAATACGTTTGAATTTATTTTGATTTATATAGAGATAAAGACGGGACCACCGATCTAATTCGGATAATTCCGGGTATTCGAATAAAGGGTTGTTGAATAACCGGGGTCGGACTGTAGATAATGCCCACATCTCAGAAAAAAGCTTTTATGACGAGCATATTTTGCCCCAATGTTGCTCTTGTTTTATTTCCATAATTACTGGAAAATATTGGCCCCGTTTAAAGAAAAGGAAGTATGTTGACTCTATATTCAAAAACATGAAAGAATTTAATGAAACTTCATAGAAATGTTAACCACAATGAGAAGCCTTATTGTGCGCATGAACCAGGTCTCTAGGTTGAAAGTCAAGGTCACACTTAGAGGTCATTGAAAAACTCTTGTCCAGAGAAAAACTTTTACATGCTTTGAGGGATTTCAATATAACTTGGCACAAATGTTCACTATTGTGAGGCAGAGTGTCGAGTTTAAAATTTAGATCCCTACGGCCAAAGTCAAGGTCACACATAGGGGTCAAAGTTCAGATAAAAATATGAAAATGTGTATTGGGACCATTAAGTAATCATTTATTGAAGGATTGAAACACAAATGGTCATTTTCATGACTACTTGTGTGAACATCTAATTTAGATTAACATATGCAAGATCAAGATCAATAAAGATGATTGTCAAGGTCACAAAAGATAATAAATTATAAAGATTTTGTCCGGAGCATATCTCCTACACATATGTAGGGATTCTAATGAATCTTCATACAAATGTTCACCACTATGAGAAGCCGTGTTGTGCGCATGAATCAGGCCTCTAGGTCAAAGGTCAAGGTCATACTTAGAGATCATAGAAAAACACTTGTTCGGAGCAAAATTTCTACATGCATAGAGGGATTTCATTATAACTTGGCACAAATGTTCACTATTGTGAGGCGGAGTGTCGCGTGTAAAATTTAGGACCCTGTGGCCAAGGTCAAGGTCACATATAGGAGGCAAAATTCAGATAAAAAAATCACCAGAGATGATAGTATAGCCAGATATTTTCCAGATATTGCCCAGAGAATATCTCCTATATGCATTTTTATAATGCCCACATCTCTGTCAAAAGCTTCTGTAACGGGCGTATATTGCGACAATGTTGCTCTTGTTATATTTTAAATAATTTTTAGCTCGATTTTTTTTTTTCAAAGAAAAACATAGAGGTATTGTTACAGTCATGTCGGCATTGCTGTCCGCAATTTTTAACCATGGGCCAAGACCTTCATGTAGGTCAGACTTAACTTGGTCTTCATTCATAAATGACCTTGACATTCTAAGTTAAATTTTGCTGATTTTAAGTTTGACATTTTTTTGAGAGAAAAAAATAGAGGTATTGTTACAGTCATGTTGGCGTTCCCATTTGCAAACTTTACCTTAATCATAACTTTTTAAGTTCTTTGTGTATTGTTTTAATACTTAGCCACAACAACACTTTGGACAAGACCTTCAAGTAGTTAAAGGTCAAGGTCACATCTAAATTATTCAACATGTTTGTTTGGTAGGAAGTCTTGTTTAATGTTAAAGTTTAATTAAACCTGTACATAAATAACAAAATTATGACAATTTAACTAAAAATCAATAACTTGACCTTCATGGTCAATGTCATTTTAAGGTCAAGGTCAGTTCAACCTTCAAAATTAATTGAAAATGTATACATCTTATATCCATACATGCACAGTAGGTATTTAGTTACCCGCACTCCAGTAATCTGACTGTCCGGATTGAACTAGAGCATGCTTGCTGATTGACAACATTTATACTTGGGTTTACTTATTTCGACAAGACAGAAAGGTATAACGACAGAAAAGTCATATTCAGATGCTTGTACATTGGCTACTTTTTTCTAGGGTTTCATATTGTGACACTGATACAAAAGACAAAGAACATCAAAACACTCGACAATTTGATTTATACACAAGGGGGGGTGGCTATGCCCCCTCATACAAATTAGATAGCCTCATGTTTCAATATTCTTTCTATTACTTAGCTAAATGAACAAAGAAAAAATAATTATTATTTTTCATACAAGTTTCGTTATTGTATGTTTACTGAGGACATTAAGATGTATGTATGTTGTTAAATTTCACAGAATCAGACAAGTTTGACAGTCAATCTTCTAAATGATGATGTGAAAAAGTATGGGGTAAAGGTAATAGTCTTTCACTCTTATTTTTCTCAGTAAATTTTTATGCCACTGCAATTTTATTATTTTTCATAATCTTTTCAATTAAGCAAATCCTATTTTTCTATTTTTGATAACATAAAAAAATATTTACAAATTAAAACCATCATTAGAGACTATGTATAATATTTAAACTTATCTATACTGCCTTCATTTACAAGAGATAAAGGTATACATTGTATAAAGGTTGACTGAAAGTTGTAAGATTTTTACTGACATTATTATAGGTGATATATCTAAGGGAAGAAGATGATGAACCTGGGCTGGAAGATTGGGAAAACACAACACTGTGGACCTTCACAAATCCTTTCGCAGGTATGTTAGTCTCTTATGAAAGAGTTTTTATAATATATTTGTATCACCTAAATAAACGACCCATAACCTGCTAAATATTTTAAATGGACTTGACCATCTTTCATTCTTGACAAAATAATTCATCATTTTTAGGGATTACATATAACTGATTCAATAGCGAACGGTGGAGAATATAATTATATGGCACTGATTTGCTGGCTGTAGTCACATGGGTAGATTCTGATACTGTCGAGACTGATGGTTAAACAAACATAACTCATAATTGTATGTGTACTTATCAAAAGGGAATTTTAAAATTCCTTTTTTTGTGTGTGTTTGACAAACTTATGTCAACATACAAATGTATGAAAACCTTTCTTCCTGTCAATATGTGAAAGTCATGAATTCCTAATAATGTCTGTCATCTTGTAAAGGAAATGAATAGGTGATGGTTATGATATATTTGTCAATCAACATTAATTTTAATAATCATGAGGAACACTAAGTTTATTTTATATCTATATATAATATGATTAATACTCAGTAATTTATTGTAGTAAACATATTGCTTATCCCCTGTTTGCACTAAATTTAGCAGCTTGTTCTTGTTTTCTTACAGATAACATGGTGGAGAATATAGGTAGATATACAGAATTATCATAATGTAAAACAAATTTATAATTTAAAAAAAAATGTGATGCCTTGAATTCAAATCAAACTTTCCTTTAAAATGATAATGAAGGATAATTACCTGTTATGGTCCTTGCATAAAGCTCTACCAAAGTTGTTCAATGGTTCTGGTTAATTGAATATATAGGTCATAGATAATAAAAATTGACTTAAAGTAAAATATTTAAAAACCTTCTTCGCAAATAGGCATTGCCTACCTCTTTGAAAATTATATAACTCCTTTTCTAGACAGAGGATCTAATGTGAGTGATATAGGGCCATCATGGCTCTCTTGTTTATATTCTTTTCATATTTGCAGTCCTAGGAGATCAGCTGACACCACTATATGTGATGATAGGTGTGGTTGTGTCCATGATACTGACATCTGTTGCTGTCAAATATCTCCTTCGTCGTCATCACTTCAAACACCTCGAGGAAAGATTGATGTCGTCAGATGATGATATAGGGGAAGATGGTGACCATTACTTTGTGATGAGACTTCCAGATCATGAGTATGTCCTTTTATTAGTCCAACTTATTGTACTATTTGTTGAGATATTGTGCTATTTGTGTATGGGAAATATCTCCCCTCTAGAAGTGAGATTCTGACCCAGAACATTAACATTCTGACACAGAACAAGCATATCTCAGAATCTAGCTTTGGCACTTAATTATCATTTGATAAGTCCTTTTATATAATATGACACACTATAATTCATTCATAATCTGACCCTTTAAAACATTATTGTAGACAAAAAAATTAAAAGATAGAAATACTATTGCTATACACTTCAAGTTTGAACCAGGTGTTTCTCCTTGAATGGAGTTATTTATGAATCTGCTACACTCGACACCAAAAAATTATGCCAATATGTACAATGGATTAATATAAAAGTCTTCTTCCTGTATTTGCAAGAAAGTGTGTAAGTTAAAAAAATTAAGACTCCCGAGAAAGGAACAATGATTGGAAGTAGCGGGTGCTTGTAATTGCAAGACATGGTACACATTGACTTGTAAAAGCTTGCAAGAATGGTACTGTAATTTGGATTATCCACTGTGATATGGCTGTCCTGGCAACTTCAGATAAAAATATATCACACACACACAACACAATATAAATTTTAACGATGACAAGTTGTTCCTTGCATTCTAAACATGTTCTATCAAATCTCTACAGTTATTGAGGTAATAACTCACAAATTCAATCTCCTTGATATTATTTGTTTTAACTAAGAACACTAAACTATTCGTGGCATTTAATCAGTACTTAATAACAGGGGTCGTTACTTAAAACTATAAAAAAAAAACACACTAAACTATTGTGTCTGATTCCAAAACGCTTTTGTGTGTCGGGTTGTCGCTAGTGACAGCATGACAAAGCGCCAAATGGCGATTTGTCTGACTTCTCTCTTGTCACCTGTCGCTTACAATGCATGCCAAACTGCGCATTGTCGTGCAGCTTGTTGTTGCTATGTCACATTGTCGCTCGGCTCAAATCGAAGGATTGCCTTATAAACCAAGTGACAGGGTGACATCACAACAATGGACCACACAACAACAGGCCGTTTGGCGTGCTTCACGAGCAACAGGACAACAATGTGACAAGGTGCTTTTTGGTGCGTTGCGCTAGCGACAAGACGAAAAGGCGATAACAATATAAGTTGTGTTGTCGCTATTGACAACACAATGCGCAAAGTGTACCAAATCAGCCACCATACAAAACAGATTTATCAATATTATATTGAATATATACAATATTATATTGAATATACCAGGTAAATAACTATTGATATAAGACTGTTGATGTTGGCATAATTGCAGTGCTGGTGATGATACAGATATTCCTACTGTAGTTGCTGACCACTGGGAGCTCCCCCACTGCTGTCTAAAAATGGGGCGGATCCTAGGAAGTGGGGCTTTTGGACAGGTAGTAAAAGGGCGTGTCAGTAAATCATTGCTGATGCATCGTGGGATAGACTCACACACAACACATAATGGTATAGGTACACATGTGATAGTGGCTGTAAAGATGTTACAAGGTATAAATTTTTTATCTGTAATAAATGTTTCTTGTAGCTTTGATTTAAATACCCTATAATTATATCTTTCCAAGAAAAACCCATGAAGTCTAAATAATAGGTAATGAATGCCCTTTTGTCATTGCAACCCAAGTGCAGGACTTAAAAGTGGCAGTCATGTAATGCTTGACTATCTCTCTGTAGTTAAGTGGCACAAATTTGTATAGAATCTGATCAATCTGCACTCATTTGCTACCAGGGCAGACTATACTATTGACTGCTCAGATTTGTATTCCTTATTCTCCTAACTTAAACGCGAGTGGGTTCATCATATAACAAGGATATCGTGTATTTAACCCTTATCCCTCAAAATAACCTTAATGGACTTCTCCATCTTTCAATCTGGACAAATCCATTCCTCATTTTTAGGGTAACTTTCAGAATTTGTATTGAATGAAGAGCTAACAATGTTGACAATGAGCAGACGGCACGAATATACCAGCTGATTTTGATCAGCACTGGTCGCATAGTTGTATTCAGTTGCCACAAGCCAGCTAAAGGTTAGAATATCTCATATACATGTAATTTGCAGATAGAGCAGATGAGACACACATACAAAATTTCCTAAAGGAGATTGACATGATGAAAGACATTGGTTACCATAGAAACATAGTGAGCATTCTGGGATGTTGCACGTTACGGCAGCCATATTGTTTGGTAGTAGAGCACATGCCACATGGTGACTTGTTGGCTTATTTCAGAAACATCAGAAATAAAATGGAACAGGTAAGTGTTGTTGCAATATGTTTTAATTGTCTGCTTTTGGTCTTCTATAGGTTAATGCTTTTGGTATGGCTGGTACAAGAGTTGATGCATTTTCGGGGCATTCTCTGGATATTCTTCAGGCCAAAAATTTAATTAATTATGCAAATGCATTTTTTTTGGGTCATATACGAGGGCTGTCCAAAAAATTCGTGCACTGCAGTTATTGTCGTGTGAGTTATTGATAGAAAAACATAAATTATATATCACTTGAAGGGGAGATATATCTTAAATAAGAAAACAAAAGAAAAAAAACATGTTACCGGCATGTTCTGAAAACGAATCGTCATACAGTTACCTTGGTAACGTAATACCGGCGCACGACAAAAAATTGGGTTAGTTCATTACTTTGATGCATCACAGGTTTTTTTAAACACTACATATTAACGTTAAAATTCAGGGAAAAGTGTGTGTACGTATTCCTAACGTCATTACAAATTATGGCGTCATTTTCCCTATAGTAACAGTCGTAAACAAACATTTGTGTGCGGTCATCAATACTGTAATTACGTGAAAATGTCAGTCGCTAAAGGTATGGAAATACTGACGATCATTAAATTTGGTGCAAATATTGGTAAATCACCAACAGATACCTACAAAGAACTTAAAAGGGCAAGCGGGACAAGTTCAGTGTCACCAAAGCTGGTTTTTAAATGACACAGAGTCGGTAGACGATGACAACCAGTCAGACAGACGTCCGTCTGTAATGCCGGCGCATGTGACAAGGGTTGTCCAATATATTCCTGCACTGGTGGAATATGCTACATGTACGTTGCATAAAAAACAATAAAAACTACACAATACTTTTACATCAATCATTCCTCTATTGACAGTAAAACAAATTATAACATAAAAAGCAAATACCACTTTATATTTACAAGCAACAAACAATACAATTACAGTAATGAACTAACCCATGTTTTTGCCATGCGCCGGTATTACGTTACTTAGGTAACTCAATGACCATTCTTTTACATGACACGCCGGTTACTCGGCTTTTTCTTTTGTTTTCTTATTTGAGACAAATTTTTCTTTCAAGTGATATATAATTCATTTGTTTTTATTAATAACTCTGACGACAATAACTGCAGTGCACGAATTTTTTGGACAACCCTCGTATCAGTGAACTGGCATTATAAATGCTTATTATTTGTTATTTATCTTTGCCCAAAACTTGTAGTTCATGTCTTGGAATTGACATCTCAAACCAAGGTCTTAAGAAATTAGGTAAACAGGTTTGTTTTATAATTGTTATATGTAGTGTAGCTTTGAGTATTTTGAATGTTATGCAATGTTGTTAAGAGAATTTCATATGGTTGTGAAGCAATGTTTCTTATTTAAGATCAAAGTTAAAATGTTGGAATGGTTTTAAAATGATAGCAGGATAGAATGCAAAAACTGTAATAAACTGGTATTTCTGGGTGTAAGACATTATATTATATTAATCATCTAAGTTTCATGTAAATGTATAAACCTGTGCTGTTGTATCTTTTGATGACACTTTATTTAAAAAGACTCAAATCCCCAAATCCCAAAACTTCAAGACTCACTTGTTACTAGGAGTTTAAATCCTTATATGTAAACAGTATGTTCAGTATATATAATTTTATTGCAGTGCCTATGGCTTACTTAACACTTTGTCTGTGGGCAGTTTGTTTGCACACAAAAACTTTTGAAAGACTTCACCGATTCTATGTATACCAAAACAAAGATCAATATGTGGTTACAGTCTACTGTTTAAATAAAATCTTAAAAAAATCTTGTTTCATATACAGAAAGAAACAGAAGGTGATGGGTATATCAACCAAGACATTGACATGTTTTCCCCCAGAGATCTACTCTCTGTAGCCAGGCAGATAACTGCAGGCATGGTAAGTGGTGCATAATTACTGTACTGATAATTTTCAATATAAGCCAGGTTTTATTCTTTAGAACTTCATGGAATTAGTTGTTGTGGAATAAACTTTTAATTGATTTCCATCAGAAACACCACCTTCCACTGTCAAAGATGAATCTTCATTTTCAGATAGTAAAATGCCTTCTTTGAATATAAACAAATTCAGCGCCTTCTGTGCTTTGATCTAAGTATGCTTACTCTTCTACTTACTTGTATGTTTTCTTACCACAGTTATTTCCCTTACATAATTCTTTTGTGAATGACAGCTCAGTTTCTATGGGGCTCATTATAAGGTATGAGATTTTTTTCAGGGTTTATTAATACTTAACAACTTACGCAAATTCTCAGGTAACAATGGTTTGTAATTACAATATTTTTTTGAAAAACAAGCCTTATATAAGAGATTATAAATCATTCATTTCTTCAAAGGTCATTTTCATTTATTTATTGTTCTGATAACCAGTCATTCCCACTCAGTTTTCAGCTGCCTGGATGGGGCATCCGTGGATGAGTGGTTAAGGTTTTTGACTTAAAACCACTTGCCTCTCATGGCTGTAGGTTTGAATCTTGCAAGTGTCTTTGGATTCTTCCATGTGGGAAAGCTATCGGGCTAGCTTACAGAACGTCTGTGGTTCTACTCTAATGCCTTTTTGTGCCTGAAATAGCGCACAGAGGGGCACCTGAGGTCTTCCTTTGCCAGTAAAGCTGGATAGTCATCACAAGACCTTTACTGTGTTGGTGTGACGTAAAACCCAATAATTTTTTTTTTTTTTTAAAGCTGCTTGGATAGTTTTAAAGAATATAAAATCATTTGCACTCTCAGTTTCATAATCTCAGAATTTTAGCTAAAATATAAATATTTATTAGAACAGTGCTGCTACTCTCTGGTTTTTGTTGTTCATCATATTGTTAATCATTATAAGCTTGCTGAATTTCTTCAATTGACTTGTCTAGCTTCCATATTTGGAACTGTCCATTATCTATTTTGTGTATAAAGATGAAAATTTAAGTTAGTTAAGTTAGTCAGTCAACAATAGAGAGTCTGGTCAGACTGCATGGATGTGCTGGGGGTCTATACTGGTGGCAAAGGCTGACCACTTTCTGTTACAGCAGTATAAAAGAAAATGTATGATTTTGAGCCACATTTCAATTTAATTATGTTGATTTATTTAATGGTTACTTCATATTATTTAATGGTTAATTCATATTAACATTTTATTCAGTGTTTGATTTGTTTTGTGAAAAAGAATTAAATGTATTTAGAAACTAGATTTAAATTGTCTAATGTTAACATTTTCAGTAATGTCATTATGAGATGGCTATATTTATTGAGTAGGGTGTTTTTATTGTTTCTCCATTTTTAAAAAAAAAACAGATAAAGAAGATCATGAAATATGGGTAACATGGTCTATTTTATGAAAGGTATTTGACTGATTGACTTAACACATTCCCAGCCTGGCCATTTGTTTTACTTAAGTCAATAAAAACGGTCCAAAATGTTTATTCTTTCAATAGTACAGCCCTGGATTAAAATCTTCAAAGAGTTCATAAAGCTCATTATTGTTTCATAGAACACTTGTAAACAAACATAGATAAACTTTGGTATCAGTTTGATACATAGTAAATTGTGACTTTGATGCATTTAAAGGGTGTTTTTTTTTTCTTATTTTCCAATTACCTTTAAAAATGATTGTTAGAGTAAATAACAAAATAGTTAAACCTTCAGGTCCTGGGAACATGCAGATATGAAACTAAGATGTAAATGGTAAAATATGCCAACTATTCTTTTTTACAGTCACCTGTGACAATATTTAACTTTTGTCAGAAAAAAATATACTATTGGCTTATATTATGACATTAAATTATGCAAAAACTATTTATTTGAAATGTTTTTGGTTGAAAACTTAAGCAAAAAAACTGGGACCTATATTCATTAACATTTAAAGTTTAAAATTTCTATGTACAAATTAAAACTTATAGTTCTAAATTTCTCTTGTTCCTTTTGTTAGATATAAACAAATTATTTACTAATGAAAATTTACAAAAATATTTCATATAACTTATAAGAGTAGATAATTCACAAAAATTACACCAAAAACAATTTAGAATGAAAAAAATATTTAAAAAATCAGCATTTTTGGATCTTAAGCTAAGGTATTGATTAAATTAAATATGAATTTTATTATGATTTTTTTTTATTTGAATTTTACTGGAGTGATAATCTGAATGATTATAATACTCATTTTAATCTCAGATAATTAACCTTTTATTTGCTGGATTTGTGTAATGGATTTATAAGGGAGTTGATTTGAAATAGTCCATTTAAAGTGATTTTATTATCAAAATGCGAAAAATATTTTTTTTAAGATACCGACAGTATAGAGCCTGGTCAGATTGTTGGTGTAGCTCTGTACAGGTGGCAAAGACTGATCACTTTTCTTTTCAAGCAGGTTAAAGGTCGAAAGTATAAAAGGTTGTGAGTTTAAAACCTTCCCTATCCACAAACTTTCTTATCTCCCTAATAATTCCCCAGGATTCATGATGACTTTTCTTCTCTCTGTTCTCTTCACTTCAGAGGCATAAGTGGTGAACTGAACTTAACAATACAACTACACTTTTTACAACTGTTATTTTGGTCAGTAACTGTACTTTTATTCTTGTCAGTAACTGTATTGCTATTTTGGTCATAACTGTACTGTTGTTTTGGTCAGTAACTGTATTGTTATTTTGGTCATTAACTGTACTTTTATTTTGGTCAGTAAATGTACTGTTATTTTGGTCATTAACTGTACTGTTATTTTGGTCATTAACTATACTTTTATTTTGGTCAGTGGCTTTACTGTTATTTTGGTCAGTATCTGTACTGTTATTTTGGTCATTAACTGTACTGTTAATTTGGTCAGTAACTGTATTGTTATTTTGGTCATTAACTGTACTGTTATTTGGTCAGTAACTGTATTGTTATTTTGGTCATGAACTGTACTGTTATTTTGGTCATTAACTAAACTGTTATTTGGTCAGTAACTGTATTGTTATTTTGGTCATTAACTGTACTTTTATTTTGGTCAGTAAATGTAATGTTATTTTGGTCATTAACTGTACTGTTAATTTGGTTAGTTACTGCATTGTTATTTTGGTCATTAACTGTACTGTTATTTTAGTCATTAAGTAAACTGTTATTTGGTCAGTAACTGTATTGTTATTTTGGTCATAAACTGTACTTTTATTTTGGTCAGTAAATGTAATGTTATTTTGGTCATTAACTGTACTGTTATTTTGGTCATTAACTGTACTGTTATTTTGGTCATTAACTGTACTGTTATTTTGGTCATTAACTATACTGTTATTTTGGTCAGTGGCTTAACTGTTATTTTGGTCAGTAAAAATACTGTTATTTTGGTTATTAACTGTACTGTTAATTTGGTCAGTAACTGAATTGTTATTTTGGTTATAAACTGTACTGTTAATTTGGTCAGTAACTGAATTGTTATTTTGGTCATTAACTGTACTGTTATTTTGGTCAGTAAATGTACTGTTATTTTGGTCAGTAACTGTACTGTTATTTTGGTTATTAGCTGTACTGTTATTTTGGTCAGTAACTCTACTGTTATTTTGGTCAGTCAATGTACTGTTATTTTGGTCATTAACTGTACTGTTATTTTGGTCAGTAAATGTACTGTTATTTTGGTCAGTAACTGTACTGTAATTTTGGTCATTTACTGTACTGTTATTTTGGTCATTAACTGTACTCATACTTTGGTCAGTAACTGTCCTGTTATTTTGGTCAATAACTGTATTGTTATTTTGGTCAGTATGTTCTGTTATTTTGGTCAGTATGTCCTATTATTTTGGTCACTAAATGTACTGTTATTTTGGTCACTAAATGTACTGTTATTTTGGTCATTATCTATACTATTATTTTGGTCATTAACTATACTTTTATTTTGGTCAGTGGCTTTACTGTTATTTTGGTCAGTAACTTTACTGTTATTCTGGTCACTAACTGTACTATTATTTTAGTAAATTTTTAATTTAAATGTGTATTCTTATATCTCAATTAACATTTTGTGCTGACAATTTTTGATCTCCTTATTTGCTCTAGTTCTGTACAAAACCTTTATATCAAAACCAGTGCACACAAAAATTACATAAATTATTTTACGGAATTTTCACCTCTTTTTTTGAAAGCTGCCCTTTAACATACCTTGATGGGATTTTTCTTGTTTATAATGTCAAAAAGACAATCTTGGTATATCATTTTAACTAAATGTCCTGTCACAGTTTGTTTAAAACAATCAACTAGCTGTGTTGAAGCATTAAGCAGAGTTTTTGTGTGAGGGGGCGGGTAATTTATCAAAACTTAAAATATTTTATTTAAAAACAATTTTTTTTTTAGAAAAAACATTTCTTAAAATCTTTTGACATTTTATAAGAGAAATTAATAGTAAGAATACAACTGAAACTTGGTACATATGGTTTGTTACAAGAAAAGTGAGTTTTATATCTGAATTATAAGGCATTTCTCTCCTATCATGTAAGAACATGCATGACTTTAATTTGTCATAAATTACAGTAAAAAGTGTTGTAATAAGCAATATATTGTGTGTTTTAAACACAATTAAAACTGTTTAAAAATACCAAATAAATGTTTTGTACTTTAATTTGCTGGTAGTGAGACAAAATTCAGATGTCTGCAAAAGTTTGATTAAACTCTGTACTGACAGATACATTAAATGGCAGAATAACGAGAGAAACTAAAATACTTGTAACATTTAACTCTATGTTAACATTTGCACACAAAAAAAATCTGTTTTATTATGTTGTATTTAAAAAATGACATTAAATATTATTCTTTATGAGCAAAGTTCTGTTTAAATGACAAAAACTTAAAATTTTATTTATAAGACAGACAGTTTAATGAATAAAGGCATTGTACTGTAAGAATTCATTGACCTTCTATAATTCTAAATGTCT